ATGTACATTGTTTGACTTTAGTCCATTCTTTCTTTATGCACGTAAAACTCAGGATCTCAATCGTACATAATAAAAAGATTTAGGTAAGTTAACATAAAGTCAAGAACCTCTTTAACAGGTTTTTTTAAACCATCTTCTTCCAGAGTCTAAAGCTCATTCCACATAGTGCAGTCAAAGTCAAGCGATAGCGTCAGTGTTTGTGTAAACACCAACATTTTGTTATCTATGCGCTTCCACTGACAAGCAGCTACCAAGAATAACATGAATATGTTTCGCTATGTTTCTACATATATAGGCCAGTTTGGTTCTCAGCTGTAACACAATTCTCAAAGCGTTTTCATCGATGCAATAACCACTGGGAGCAAGATTCAGCGCTGCTTCTGATGCTCTGCTGCACGACCATGAATATAGCGTGTGTTCGTAGGTTGATCAGAAGATAAAGGGCTGATATGAAATGGCTAAATGAGAGGGATTGTCCCTCTGATTGCTAGAAATGATATCAGTCTTCAGGCCATTTCCAACCATTTCCTCATTTTCTGGTGGTACTTCATATAGTGAACATTACAAAGCCGATGGCCCGAAACCATAGGACTCCCAAGTCTCAGGCATTTATAAAGCCAACATCATTGAATTATACACAAAAAGCTCTAACTCATGGAGTGAATCATTGCTACCCTGTTCCCTGAACAAACACACAGGCATGAGTCCCTATTCCCGGGTGGATATAGGTTACATCCATCCATCAAAGACATCGGAACTCGCTAAATCCTCCTCCCACATGGCATCCACGTTCGAGCGAAGCATTATTCGGCGCTCAGGCCAAGTAGGGCTTCTAGTTCTCCGAGTTGGATCTTCTGGGGAATGTGCCAAGCGAATAATCCCCATCTAGAGCCTGCATCCACCAGATGAAACCTCACGATGAGCTCATGGTGATGTCGAAGGACTGCCCTGGGTTAAGTGAGATTAAAGAGGCTGAAACTTTCGCGGAAATGGTCGGCTATGTGAACGATGAGGAATGTTAACGTGGAGTCGCATGTGTGATGGCTGGATTTTGATCGACAGGGACGATAATTTCCGCGATGGTTGAAAGCTAATCGTTATTTGGGCTGCAGAAACAGGAGACCATACTCCGGTCAGCATAGTAACTTCTAGATGTAAGGTTGAAGGAACTGACATTATCTCGAAAGAAGGACTTGTTTATTGGGTATTAGATCTAATCGAAAAATACAAACGCCTCTAACATTACCGCCTGCTTTTAGTATCTAGTTTATATAATAGAATGACTTCCGTTGACCCGGACTCGTTCGATTATGGCGATCGTGTAGTCGTTTGCTGGAACTCTCGGTGCACCCTTATGCCCTGCAATATCTCCTCACTGCTCGAGTTCCCACCATCGACTTTGGCGTTGTAGGTCGTAGTAGTGAGCTCAAAGCCCTCAACATCAGGCCTTAGTTTAGTGTTGGCTGGTGCTGATGTCTCTGTGAATTTCGGCCCCTTGATCAAATCGGTTGAGTCGTTGTCGTCGGGAAGTCTGTAGAACGTGTTCGTCGATGCAGAGCCGTTGGAACTCCTGCCAGCGCCAGTGTTCTCGTGGGACTTGAGGCCCTTTGTTGACTTGTCGCCTGATGGTCTGACGTTACTGCGAACTGTAGATGCAAAGCTGCTGAGGCCGGTAAATTTGGCGACGAGTCGGAGAACAGGCAGCATTGTAGGGAGATTCGCTGAGACGATGCCGGCTGACATTTCGATCTCGGTCCATCCTACCGTAGGGGCGAGAGTGTAGCTTGGATCGGTGCTGGTGTAGGTGAAGAGAACGCTGGTTCGATAAGCTGAGGCGAAGACGACGAAAGATCCGATGGCGAAGGCGGCTGTAAGACCAAGCTTTTCAGACTTGCCGAGCTGAAGTTTCCAAATAGGAGGAAGTGGTAGACACAAGATAACAATGTCGGTAAAAATGGTAGAAGCGGCGTTGGCGATCCATGTTCCGACTTGGTTGATGCATCGACCAGGGAGATCGGGGTACCACAGTTTAGCAACTGGGATGCAGATGAAGATGAAAAGAAAGGTAATGGTGATGACCCAAGCAAAGACGAATGATCCAACAAGCCAGGCCATCTTCTTGAAGTAAGGGACGCGGAAGATTCGGTAGTACATGAGCAAAAGACTCAGCTTCGTCCAGCCGAGATTCCAAGCATATAGAACTTCTGCTACAACGAGCCACTTTGCCATCATGACGATTTGTGTCATGGGGACTTTGTCGGCGTGAATGCCCATTCCGTTGGCGTGCATGGCGAAGATGAATCCTACAACGACCAAGTTCCATGACTGAACTGTTAGAATCGGTTGTGTCCAGCATACTGTGAGTGTACCTACCATCGAGAATAGAATAACATAGTCATCCCACCAAAGCTTCTGTGCCTTCAAGTGCCGACTATACAACCGAAGACCACAAGAAACCAGAGCCAAAACAGTCATAGAAACAACGACTTCGACAGTCCATGGTTGAATATTGTGCTTGTCGAAGCCAGGAAGGCCTGGGAGCTGAGACTCGGCCATGATCAAAAGAGACGTTATTACAATGAAAAAAAGAGAACAAGAGCTAATTGAATAAAGGAACGGAGTATTTTAAAAACATAATGTATTATTCACAGGAGAGTATCATGTCGAGCAGGGAGTGGAACCCATGGTCGAAACTCGTCTGACAGCTCACATTCCAGCCCAAAGAAGAATAGAACATGACTTGACTGGAAAAAGCAATGGGACCCAAGAGTTTGGTATCAGTTGGGTAAGGACTCGACGTCTAGGCTAGAACGTGGCTGTGGATTCATTTCCGCACAGCCGGGAAAAGGTCTTCCACCCCGTCTTCTCATCGGTAGACGTGATCCGGCGATGAAGAAGTAAGGCGAGACAAAAGACGCTATAGTGAGACATCTATTGATGAGTCTATCACGATATCTTCAAACTTGTCCAATATTGTCTTTTCATGATACATCTTCATGCAGAATCATGCTTCAGCTCGGATATAAAACTGACAGGGGTTTATGTAAGTGAGCCGACTGGCCGATCACGCAGTGGCAAGCTTACACGACATCTGATAGATATTTGCTCATAGGGTAGTATTCTACCAGCAGGGGACTGATTCAGGAACACGCACAACTTCTGATGCATCATATGCATAAGAATTTTCTTGTCTTTTTCTCCTTTTGGCTTCGGGAATAGTCGTTCCTGCGCCGTGGCGTCGGTGTTTAATCCCTGTGCCTGTCAGCATTCTAACGTATTTCTCACCAATGACTTTCAGGCTGTGGGGAATGCCGAGGAACCAAAAACGTGTGAAACGAAACAATACCTGCATAGTAATTCCGCACATCAAAAGTATGTGATGTCTTCAACATACAGTCAGTTGTTGGTGAAGAGTACACGGCAGAATAACCTCTACGGTCCGTCCCGTTTTCTAAACGCTCTCAGTGTCTGATCACAATAGACTTCTTAGACTCTTCTCCATGCGGACCTCCCGCCGGTTCCGCTCGAGTCCGGCGCGGAACGGTGCCGTCCATCACGGAGAAGTAACCCCTTGCGGATCAAGGTCTGGCCACCGACTCAATTCTGCGCATGTCCTACCCCCTGATCGTCGCTAGGTATAACACACGTTTCCATCGGTGGGTTGTCATGAGAAGTACATAGCCCAGTTCTCTAGCTCTTCCTTTTGGGAATCATACCAAGAAATCTATCTACCTCTCCATCTCTCACACCAGGAACAGTTAACTCACACCAACACTGTGCCGTAACTGAACATCTTGTTTACTTTTGCAAAAATGGCTGCCAAATCTACTATCAAGGTTCCCCACCTCGGAGGCATCGATGCCGGCTATCGTGTCTCGGGCTCTGGAATCGACTCTAGCAAACCTACCCTTGTGCTCGTCAACTCCATGTGCACTGCATCATCTCTCTTTGAAGCACAGTTCTCTGCTCAAGAACTCACTGACAAGGTCAACCTTCTCGCCATTGAACCCCTCGGCCATGGCGCCACAAGCTCAAAGTCAGAGCACTTCACCTACTGGGACTCAGCCATCATGAACCTCCAGGTCATGGAAGCTCTTGGCGTCGACAAGGCTTTTGCCCTGGGAACAAGCGCTGGCGGCTGGATCGTCGTTCGCATGGCTCTTCTAGCCCCTGAAAAGGTACGTTTCTCTCAAGAAGTACAAGTCCACCTTCGGTAGTGGCCTTTTTTCATACCCGGTTACGTTAAAACCCCCTGACTTACACACCCGTTCCACCGGAGCAGATCCTCGGCGTTCTCCCACTTGGCACGTCCATGGACTACGAGTCCGCCGAGTCTCGCGAGAAAGGCTGCTGGGACCCCAAGACGCAGCTCGGTCCCTTCTACGAGAACTGGCACAGCACTACGCCCACGCCTGACTTTGTCGTCGATGACGTTTGGCGTGGTCTCGTTTCGTCGGTAGGCTTCGGAAGCAACCCATCTCCTGAAACGCTCGCGTTCTGGGACGAGACGCTCAAGCAGGTTTATCGCGGAGACGAGGGCCGAAAGAAGCTGCGGATCGCCGTTGTCAACCTCTTTGAGAGGGATGGTCTGCTTCTCCGCTTGCGAGACGTCAAGTGCCCAGTTTACTGGCTTCAGGTGAGTGAAATAGAATACGCTGACCTCCACTGACTTAAGCGGAGACTAATTATCGTTGTTATTAGGGCACTGCCGATCCTGTGTTTGGTACGACTGTTCCTGCTGAGCATATCAAGCTCTTCACTTCAAGCCCTGAGGCTACGCTTGAGTTTGTCGAGGGTGGTGGCCATTACCTGAGCGCGACTAACCCCAAGGAGATTAACGAGGCCATTCTCAAGATGGTGAACAAGTATGCTTAAGATAAGATAGAATAGAATAGAGTTCTCGATGGATTGATACTTGATTGCTATGACCAAGGGTTTCCCCAACATCCTCCACTGTTACTGTCATCCGGACTTAACTTGGAGTGTTGGTTCTTTCAACAAAGTCATCCCCGGGCACGGGTTTAACAAGTTTCCCGACGCGTATGGGGCCGGGCACTAGGGTTTACCCAACGGGCGGGACGGCGTCAAACTATGAGTTAGTGGCTCCATCCAGCATGGTTCGAGTTCCTGAGCAAAGAACGTATGAGGCTGAAGCTTATGTGAAGAATTTTCCGATGGGGTTGGGTCCTTGCATTGAGTGCCTGTTAATTTGTTGATGGCCCGTTGTTGAAATAGGGAACAAGTCCCGTGAGTAAAAGTCAATTGCTTGATATCGTATGTTCTTATCTGAGTATCCGGGCATCGCTATGATAGAGCAGAGTAACTGCTTATGGTTAAGAAGTTGACTACCACGGCCAAGCACGGAAATAATAAAATTTCTCTTCGACGGATACAAGGCCAAGCCATCGATGTAACCTTTCTTCTCGCCTCAAGCCTTGGTCCAAGTCCCTTTTTGATAGCGTGCCAGACTAAACACGCGGATGAGCCTCAAGACTTCCGTTCAACCTATGAATCCACGCTTGAATGCTTTAGTTATATGTGAACCCACAGCTTTAATATCATCCGCATACTTCAGCGGAAGCCATTGCGATTCCGCGTTTGCTTCATTGTCCATATCAGCTACATTGGTGCGAGTCAGGTGGTTGCCGATCATTGTCAGCCGCTAGCTTTTATTGCGTGTTGCCACAGCATCATACCTATTTAGTATATAAAATGTCAGCCTCAGTTTTGACGCAACTCGATGTAGTATTGTGATTGCTCATATTACTTTTGGCGTCTGTGAGTGGCAGAGTCATTTGCTTCAATGAGTCAGGACACCAGTCAACGACAAAAGAAATGTCGTCGGAGATGAAAAAGAAGCAGAAAAAGAAGCAAGTATTTGTAAAAGCTAAGTTGTGTACAAACAGCAGATGGACCTCCTTGCTGACTCTGCTAATGAGTGAATGATATGACCAAATGATTATGTGACAACCTGGGTGTCATTGACACTCCTTGAATGGTAATGGTACATGACTCTTTCATCATTGATAATATCCCGTTCTACCATATGGGTGGCTGCGCCACGAGGTCAACTCAAGTCCGAGTTTGTTTCTCTTTCATCTCCTAGACCACTGTACCATGACTTAATACCAGCCAGCTTTCATGTGTTCCTATAAGAGATGCCAGTGATTTCTTTCCCTTAATCGAACATCAATATGCACTCCAGTTGTGCTTCAGAACGCAATCAAGCGATCCGAAGAGAAGAAGCCCCGAATACCATTCTGAACAGCCCCGAATCGCAGGAAGCGGCATGATTCGCTCTCCAAGTGGTTGACCATACCAGCTAGAGTTGTAAATTCCTTGAGGCACTTTCTGTTTGGGCAGTGATAGAGCTCTTGCTGGTGTCGTGGTGAGGCCAGGTGCTGATTCAAGCTCGACAGCTGTCTAAACAAGTCGCCACAGAAGTAACACTCGTATTGTCCATAGCGTGAGTTGAAGGCGACAGAGGTTGCATGGTAAGACACTGTTCCGTGCCATTCAAGAAGTTTGTTGCAGACGAAGCCATTGGGGTCTCGTCGTCGGACCTCTTGATACAGCGTGTCGCGGTCCAGAGGTGCGTTGGGGCAACATCCGCGCTCAAGATGGTGAACAACACCACTGGCAGCTTGGTAGTATGCCTTGCAGAAGGGGCAAGAGACTCCTTTTTGATAGGTTGAAACACCCGAGTAGCTCATTCCTTGATGCCGTCTGGAGTTTAAGTGCTACCACAGTCAGCGTTAACTCTCCCGTTCCTTGTGGTAAACAAACCTGGCTAATAGCATGCCAGCTCGAGAACTGCTGATCGCAGTGACAACAGTAGAAGCAGGAGTTGACCATATGGTCCATACACTGCTTGTGGGTATGGAAACCGGCACCACAAGAGTCGCATTCCCATTCAGGTGTATAGTGCCCTGTTGCATTACAGTGTTGGTCGCGGGAGTGCTCTCCTGCAGGGAACTGCCTCTAGCAAGTCCCGCACGAGTACATTTTGCACTTGGTAGCTTCCGAGAAAGGGTTGAATGCCTTTTCTGCAAATGGGAGTCAAGTTTGGAAGATGGTGTTGTGCAGGTGAGAAAAGTCGAAGTTGAGGGGTTGAGAGGAAAGGAAGAGGCACCGAATTATGGGTGCACGTGATGAGATCAAGGCTGGCGGGCAGGAACAATTTGGTGCAGATCGGGTGGCTTTTGTCTCCTGAGAACTGAGCCATCCGATCCTTCCAAGGCTCGCTGTCCTGGGAGTGCGTGTTCAGCAGTGTTCATTGAACTACAGTGCAGTTCTGGTGAGCCTAGTTAGGGGAGGCAAGAAAACTTGAGACCTTTATCCTAAGTGATGAAAATGAGCAATCTAAAACCCTTCGTTTATACTAAACTTACCTCACTACTTTTGTCATTTAAAGTAGAGGTCCTAAGCTTTTTTGCTCCCCGAGGCCTAGTCACTCAGACCCCTCAAGGGTAAAGAAGATGCAGGTAGTATGCGAGCTCAAAAAGACCCGAATATAATTACTATTATACAACAGATATAATATGCCATTCCAAATCGACCTCAGATCAGCGTCTTCTTATCGACTGCCGAATGCTCAACCTAAAGCAGAATACACCAGATACAACGTTAACACCAAGCATTTCCATCACCCATCATGGTAAAGCTATCATCTTATGCGGATCAACAATAGCAGTAATACTCTTCTGCACCCGCTGAAACCGCATCATCTTACAACTCTCACTCTCAAGGTGATTTATCGGCGGCGCCAACGTCTTGAACTCCTTCCCACAAGATCGCTTCATACAGTGATACAAACTCTGCTGATGTCTCGGCGACTCAAGATGCTTCTTCAGAGCAGTAAGGGTCATGTGCAGCTTGTGGCATAGATAACACTCGAAGGCTTTGGGCCAGGGGTTCTACGCCGCAGTTGGGTTGATAGTATATGTCTTCTCACCGTACCATGCTATCCCTTTGTTCGTGATGAGATTGCGATGATCGCGATTCTTGATGTAGTAGTAGAGTTTATTGCGATCCGTGGGAATACGAGGGTATGAGCCTCGCTCAAGATGGTGGGATAGACCTGTTGCTGTGTTGCAGGTGACTCTGCAGAATGGGCATTTCACTGCTGATACGCGATGAAGTTTGGAGTTTAAATGCTGAACGAATTAACAATAACTCAATCAACTACTGGGTATCAGCTTACCATCCGGAGGTTATTCGCGTTCATAAACTGACGATTGCAGTCCGCGCAGTGAAAATGCCTTTCAATCTCATGCTCTCTAATCTCGGGTGGGCTAAGTTTCAGGATAGAGTTTTGGTGGTGACCATCCATGATAACAACAACTCAACATGTACGGACTTATACTTGTCATTCTCTTCTATCGTACATGTCTATATTCCAGTATCGACCGTATCGTAGATATTCACGATATGAAGTCGATATTCGGAAAATGTCAATAATTGAAAGTCATGTAAAGACTAAAGTAGTTTGGGAATAGTGTCAACTGAGTGGATCCGGGGACGAGACAACTGAGGTTATCACTCTTCAACTGGCTTTTTGATTACACGAACGATCATTCATAGGTTGACTGAAAAGACCTTCGTTGATCTTTTTCAAGCATATGAGATAACTGAGAGCATTAGACATTATTCGTGACAAAGTTGACTCTTATCCACCATGAGGGACAAGTGGTATCATCATCAAGAAACAAAACGATCCCTTCCGACTCCATGCTTTTCACAAACCGCAAGCAACAATGAACCATCAAACCCATACTGCGTCTTTACCCTTCAACGACCATCTCATCCACCATCTTCATAAACCTCTCCCTATACTCCTCCGGATCCGCTGTGATGCTCATCGGTCCCTTATGCGCAACCTTGTTAAAGATCTTCACAATCTTCGTTAATGCCCTCGCCTGGAAAGCATGCTTCGCCCAGAAAAAGTCCAGAACAACACATCGATACGTCCACTTCCCATCCACATCATCAACACCCCTTCGCCAACGTCCAGCATCTGATTCCACAACTGGAACTTCCATGCCTTGCGGGTATCGTACTAAAAACAGGGAATAGTCCACTGCGTTGTGTGAGGCGAGGAGTGCAGAGTCCGCGAAGAGTAGTGATATAAGCTCTTGTTTGGCTTGGTGTGTAACACGGACTTTGTCGGGAAATTCATCGACGAGGCGTTCTATAACGCTGTCTGGAACAAGAGCACCGTCTGCGATATCTCGTTCTGGAAAGAAGTAATCGTTTGGCTTGAGGTCGTACGTCTCCCACTTCTTTCCCTCATCACCCTTTGGTTTTCCATAGAGTAGATTCTCCATGACAATATGATGTGTCGGCGCAGCACCAATCATACCACCAATACTCGCCTGCGACGAGACCACCAAATCCGTGATCCTGACGAGTAAGCTATGTGGTTGAAACTTCATATGTCCCACATACGGATCCAACAACTCCTTCACGAAGAAATCATGCTCAAAGCGTCTTGGCAGCGATTTGATGAGATACTTCTCATTAGCCGTCGTGAAAAACGTAGAGCCGCTGTACCCTAGATCGCCAATGGGTATGAGCTCAGCATTGTCTTCTCCATCTGTCTGGAAAGACTCGTGATAATCATCTTCATCAAGTTGCCAGACCTCTTTGCGCAAAGCGAGAAAGTCGATGGAGCGATAGCGTGTTAGGAGGAGACGAAAGAGGCGGAAGAAGGCGATTATGGTTTTTATGATGCCTTTCTTTGACTTGCCGTGGCGTTGGCTTATGGCTTTTGCTATTGAGCCTGAGATGCGGGATGAACGGATCTTCATGCCTGAGGTTTTGGCCGTTGGCTGATGAAGTGAAGAAGGTTTGGCCAACTTGAGGCTAGAATTTATGTTGTGTTCGAGAAGCTGTTGGTGGAGGGTAGTAAGTGAAGGTGGTGGAATGAGAGGTTGGGTGTTGGGAAGTCTGACGTCACTGAATCATCAGTTGAGGATCGAGATCGAGTCTCAAATTCCATGTGATTCCAACTTGTGCAACACGACATGTTTTAAAGAATAAAAATAGCCAATTTCTCAGTAGAAAGAAAATATTATTATATCAGCGCTGTATATCCTGTTCATCCCGGTCATTACCGTCCCGTATCTATAGTTCTGTTTATCTGTGTATGATTGTAAAAAGGAAACCCATCGCTTGCTTTGCGCCAGTCGCTTCAATCCCAATTCCAATATGACAAAGAAAACAATAACTCCAAGCAATTTCCCTTGTTGCTTTTGTATATCCGCTGTGATAAGCCATCCTGAAACAACTGACGCTCTAATATTATGACCATAATGAAATGCAGTATAAAAATGAATGTGCTTTCGGCTTAGAAACTGAACAGTCCACTTCGTCTCTTACCCAATGGGTAGACGATTAGTGCACTCATGAACAAACCGACACTGATACCAATGGCAACCTGGATAACCTTGAACAACACATTGAATGCAGTTCCTTCAAGATTACCCATCGTGTTCATGTCAGATGCTACCTTTGTTCCGTTCTTGGTGATCTCATCAGCCATAGTGATACTGGCCAACAGAGAACCTCCTGCTGCAAGACCAGAGGGAACCTGCACAAAAATGGCTGGAAGCATAGCCGCGGCTGCGAGACTGTATCCGACCTTGCGGGGCTTCTTCTCGGGCTCTTGGTGTTTCTCTGGTGTTCCGGGTCGAGACTCGGGGTCGTTGAGGGTTGGGAGGGACCAGGAGTCCGAGTCAATTCTCTTCTTGGTATATCGTGGTCGAACCCTGAGCTTCCACCAGTCGACAAAGTCCAGGTATCCATTCTCGACATGTCGTCCCATTCGAGAGTACAAGTTTGCAAGAATACCAATCGTCAGGGCACCAAGCATATTGGAGATTTGGCCGTTTCCTCCAAAGTATTCGGCGCAGTAACTGTTGACTGACCAACCAGCTAAAGCCATCCCGACCATGACGGGAGTTTGCTTCCACTTGGCTTGGTTGATGAGACAGAGACACATGGTGAATCCAGGGACGAAGAGGAAGTACCATTCCCGTCCAAGTGGGTTATCGCATGTTGAGCGACTCGTTGCGTTGCTGTCAATCATGCCGTAGAGCGAAGCACCGATTGTGATACCATATCCGAGGAAGAGAGTGTAGATGAGAGCATGCACCATACGTACACTACCGGCAACAAGGTTATGACTTTGAAGTTCGAGAGAACTACAGAGGACCATGTACCCTGGAAGAATCAAGGCGATACTACTCTGTGCTAGTGCACTGAAGCAGAACAGTTTGCCATTTTGGATAGAGCCGAATGCTCGAGCGAAGAACGACGTGATAAGGGCGGCCGAAACTTCAAAGACGTGGGCGTACAGTTCATTGCTAGGTGCCAAGACAAGTTGAAGAATGCCAACGATACATCCCAGAAAGAAGGCAATAGGCAAGTCGATGAATCGACCTTGGAAAGCGAAGGGCGCCACACAAGCTGATGCGACACCGTATAGGAATACTCGAATCCAGACGTTGTATTTATCCTTTCGTGCGTTGACGTCGTCCAGTCGTTTTGTCGCTTCTTCAACGCCGATCTTGTCGTGGACAACTTCTTTGTAAATGTTGTGCACGTCTCGAAGACGTCCGAGGTCGATACCCTGCGGTACACGAACGAGCTTGACTTCAGTGGTATGTGTAGTGCTATCATCGAAGCTGATGATCATACATCCAGGGAGGTACAAGAACTGAGCTTCGATTTCGAGGACACGGGATGACATGGTCATGTACTCTTCCAATCGATGTGTAGGCGCACCGTACATCATAAGAGCTCTACACAGCTTGAGTAGATACCGATGTCGTTGGATAATACCCGCAATATGAATAGTAATCCGAGCCTTGTCGCGCTTCTTAGGAGGAGGCGGTTGTTGTTTAATCTTCTCAGCCCACTTATCAGAGATATTCGCTGAAGCTGGCGCCGCAAACATAGAAGAAGACTTCATCAACTCCGTAAGTGCAAGCGAAGACGTCGAGTGTCTGTTCTTGTGGTAATTGAACAAACCGCTCGTCGGTCGTGAGCGAGGCGGTGATCGAATAGGAGGCGTTCCATTAGATGATCCAGGGCGAGATATAGGGGGTGAGTTACGAGGCGACATGAGTGGTGTGCCCGTGTCCTTGGGCGTGTTCATTCCACTACCTGGTGTTCTATCATCGTGATACAACTTAAGCAGTGAGGAGAGAATACCGCCGCGATATTGGTCCGGTCGAGGAACGTAGTCGTGGGCGTATGCTTGTTGAAGAACGGGTGTAGCTGTACCAGATGCCGGTCCGCCGTTGGGATGCTGTGTGAACAAATCCCGTTTTCCTTTGCGGGTATGAGATCTGACCAGATTCTCAGCCGCAGCGTGATGCTGAAAGCGATCAGAGTTGGCTATGCGTTGTCGAAGACCGAAATATCCTGCATCTTCAATGGTATTCGATCCAGCTGGCGGTGATCCTTTTGGATTATCATAGTCCTCAATCAGTGGCTTAAACGAAGGAACTTCCTCGAGGTCAAGCGATCCTCGTCGCGACCCAGGGGCAGAGTAACTCCCCACCGAAACAGCTAACCGATCAGCTCTCTGTCGAGCATCAGCCATAGATCGATACTGTCTCTCCGTCGTCCTCGACTCCGCCTGATCCGCCTTCTCCCTCTCATTAGGATCATCATAACTCGTATTTCTCCTCAGCGCAGGTCTCGGCCTCTTTGGTCCTACATCCGGGGTATCTGGTGCGAGATTCTGAACCTGTCGTTTCTTCTCTTGCTCGGCGGACAAGATCTTTGTGAGAGCAAGGCTTAGTTCGTAAGCATCTGGTGCATTAGGTGGTAATTCCCCGGGAGCTAGTTTTGGTGAACCTGCTGGTGAGAAAACACCTTCATCTTGACGCTGCTGTCGTGTTTGCTGTTGGTGTGTTGTTGAGTCGCTGCTTTCTCCGGAGGATTCTTTGCTGGAGTGGAAGCCTACTCGCTTCTTTTCCCTGCGGAGGGGAGTATGTACCTGGCTAGGTCTCCCGCCGCTCCCACTCCCACTATCGTTCTGTTCAGATAGCATAACGAATGAATATTTTTATGATAAGAAAATATCGGGTCTGGAAATTGGGGAAAGCGAGTTGCTCTTGTTTTAAAGGACTGGGCCCCTCGAGGGCAAAACCGAGTTTGGAGGATTGATCATGTTGTCGATCAAGGGGGGCATGATTTACATACTATTCTGTGTCTGTCTGTGTGTATACTCTCGCTCCGGGGCGAGAACAAGAAAAACAAAACTGGGCCTGTATAGGTTTTTTCTCTGTAGTGTTGTGGCTACGGGGGCGGCAAACTTGCGTGATAAGGACTGTGGGTCGCCGAGAGCAAGCCCGAGACGGGACACGCCAGGTTTAGTTCACTGATTAACTCTGCGATGATGCTATATAAGTTGATGGATATGATGATGATGGTGTGCTTGTTTCCTTGGTTTCTGAGCCTATAAAGGGCTCGTCATAGCATTCGTGGTATGTTGTTGGATTGGTATTGGTACTGGCGATATCATTTTTGGTGTTTTTTGCGTCGAGTCATGAAAATTGTTTCTTATCTCACCCTCATTAAATGCCAAAACACTCGTCATATATGATGAAAATACTTAATACGCTGGAATTCTCTTCAAACCAAGCAAACTATTTTCTTCTTCCCTTGCTCAACCCACGCAGGCCAATCCTCGCTTCAGACCTGTCGTCTTGGACCAGTCTCATCATGTCTGCTACTCGCCCTTCAATTGGTCCGGTTAAAGTGTCTTGGTTATCATGAAAAAAAGAAGCAAACGCTCGGATTACTCGTTCCGGGAGGGTGTGAGATAAAAAGCAAGGGCCTCACTCACTGCACCCGGACTGCCGGTACAATAATTAGAAGCCAGAGCTAGACGGGGAGAGCTTCCAACGGGCTTCTTCCACCGCCACGTGCCGGCCGCTGAGACCTTAAAGTGCCCTGTGCTTCAGGGGACGATGGGCTCTGCAGCTACAGGACAGCCCTGCAGCGATCGGTTAGGGGCCGGTTGGGCGCTAGAGAGGACTGGCTTTGACATTTGGAATTGAGGCTCTCTGAACTGACTATTGACAATATTTCCGAGATGGTTCATTTTTAGTACACACCATCTTTGCTCTGCTGAAGAAGGCCAGAGAATCACCTTCCGCGTTGACCATGCAGGGCTGGCAGTTGATCGACACTCTTGGTTTCCTTGATTGGTGTGATTGACATGCGAACTGACGTGCAGATGCAGATACTGACAGAGGCGGTCACTTGTTGTCTCTTGTCCTCCCACATTCATAATCGACTGAGGGTTCGTATTCTGACGCGTAATGTTCAATCGCTGAATGGTGAGTCAGTACGGAGCATCTCGACTGAACACCACCAGATCCATAACTTAGCATTCCTTGTAATCACATGTTAGAGTTTAGAGGCTCTTTGGGCTCCAACCTATTGAACAAGGGCTCATACTTGATGTTGCTCCATTAATGGAGCATATCTTGAGATCCACCCGATACCGGCTTGCCCGGAGCATCCACCATCAGCGGATCATAGCGCCGATAGAGAAAAGCCAAGCTTGGACTAGAAAGCTCTAGACACGATACCAAATCTGATTGTGCCTGTTTCTAATAATTTCATCACCATCAATAATCTTGTTTCTATTCTTGTAGAGTTTTCAGTTAGTTCCAGTAGTTAGTTGTTCAACGTATTACAAGTCTGGTTAGCGGCATGATAGGCATCCCCAATAAACAGGCTTCAGTCTCATTGGGTCTACACCTTGAGTCAAGGTCAAACTCACCGAGACAGACGCCCAAGCGCGTTCACTTGACGCGAAGCGAAATAGGTTAGGCCATCACTTACGGATACTCTTTCTACCCTTGAAGATCTGGGCATCAATAATCTCCCTGCATCACCGTTGAAACATCGTCATCTCGCGAAACAACATCACAATGTCGACGTCTACGTACACCATCCCTGATCGCATCGTGCCAATGCGCGTCATCGTCTGTGGCGTCCATCGCACAGGAACGTTGAGTACGTTTTGCTCTATCTCAGGGGGTTGATAAGCCCCCCCTCTCAACAGTTACGCGCGTAATCTACTACCCGAAAATGTGAGCTGAAACAGACCAACAGGTATTCGTAACGCTCTGTGGCAGCTTGGTTTCCACGATTGTTACCACATGCAAACTCTCTTCAACAATCCCACCCGGGCCCCTGAATGGGTACGTGCTATGGAAGCAAAGTACGCCGATAAGGGGACTTTTACCCGCGCAGACTGGGATCATTTGCTCGGCGATTGTCAAGCTGTGTGTGATGTTCCCGCTGCGTTCTTTGGTCCTGAGTTAGCGGAGCTGTACCCTGAAGCTAAAGTCATTATCATGAACCGAGACCCTGAGAAGTGGTATGAGAGCGTGCTTAATAGTATCTACTTGATAACCACCCCAAAGGGCTTCTTGGCTAAACTCAGTATGATTTATTGTTTTTTGCTTGATACAAATCTTCAGTATATGGCAAAGTATAGCAAATCGATGAGATCCCTGGTTCAGAAGTATGACCACGGAAATGATAAGGAGAAGGCAATTGCATGGTACAAAGCGCAATACCAGGAATTCCATGACAGGATTCCAGCGGATCGGTATATCGAGTATACCATCACAGAGGGCTGGGGACCGCTGTGTGAGTATCTCGGTGTTCCTGTACCAGAGGTTCAGGACCCTGTGACAGGCAAGACGGTGGAGGCACCGTTTCCACATCTCAATGACGGCGAGACGTTTAGAAGGAATAGCAAGGTCATGAAGAAGAAGACCATGGAGAGGGCGAATCAGAATCTACTGGCGGCTGTGGGCAGGCTGGCCTTGACGGGTGTGGTGGGATATGCTGGTTATCTGGTGTGGAAGACTCGACTTGGAGGACGTGTTTAGTCGAGCTTGACTATGTTGATTACTTGGTCAATGAGGATCGTGTATTTGTATTGTATCATAGAAACTTTCTTGTCCTGTTGTTAAGGGCATCCGGGAATTCAGGCACCAGGCTACTCACATGCAAGTTATGCTAAGGGTAGTCTGTTCAACACCAACTTTGGTGCATCATTACTCTTATTCATATCATTCCTGTAGCAGACCTGTCATATACAAGAGACACATCCCATCGTTTCCTGAACTCATAACCTTCCAATCATCATCAACCCATCATCTTTAAAAGCTTCATAAGCTCCGCAATATCAGCATTACTCGCCCTTCCCCCCAAGTGTCCATCCCGATTCATCTGCTCCATCTTGAGCTTCCTAGACCCCCACAACTCCGACCCATCAACATCAACATCCTCAACATCCTCCGGCCCAACCTCCGCATCCCTCGCCTCCTTAGTTTCCTTTACCCTCGTATAAAAACTCGTCCATGGCTTCTGTGGCGACGTTGAGGAACCTATCATTTCCCACGCTGCGCTCTCGGACATCGGAGCTCCCGTGCCCCGCGGCCGTCGAGGAGACGTAGCCTACTACAAAGGGCAGTTGGTCCTCGGAAGGTACGTAGGTGAGGAACTCGGGGCCAACTCCGGCGGCGAGGTCGCGCTTGAGATCGGTTAGGAGGGACCAGGCGATGTTGTGCATGGTGAAGAAGTTGAAGCTGATACGGGGGATTTCGCTGTTGACGACTTGGGCGAGCTGTTCGATGAGACCACTTGGAGATTTTGGCACTGCCTCGAGCTGGGATCTGTTAATAAAAGCTTGCTGTAGGGACTTATCAGGGCTTACATTGGCCTCCTTGGCCTTTTGCTTCAGGCCCTCCTGTATATGACCCTTGCCATCCATGATTGCCTTCTTACGACACTCCGTCAAGAGTTCTCTAACGGTAGCAATTGTCCAAGGCTCACGGGGATTATCCACACAAATACGGTTGTCCAACGAAAGGGATACCCAGCCATCGAACTTCATGTTTGGTGCATTGCCTTTATGTTTGGTAGGCTTGGCGCTCCGCCTGTTTGGTGCTTGATGGGTGAGTGAAGTGCCTAGGCAGAGACAGTAGTTCTTGTAGTAGCCCTCAAGGTCCTTGGACGGATTTCCAACGAAGAAGCACTGGTTGCCTTGGTATCCCCAGAACTCCTCGAGACCCTCCCACGCTTGGCCTTCGGGAATACGACCCTATTGTCGAAGGGCTTGGTACAGTTGTGTAGTAGTCATAAGACCTCTGCTAGGCGCAGCAGCCTTGACACCATTGACATGCAGCATAGATCGCATTTGATGGATCAAAAGACCGCAGTATATGGGGTTCCGACGAAGAAACGGGGACGCCGCATTATCATCACTGTGAGCCATAGCCCCGAACTCCATCATCGACTGGTTCGTCTCATAGATAGGGTCGTGGTTCCAGCGCGTCGCTACTTGGAGGACTTGCCTGCGCTCAGCCGTCTTAGGAAGATCAACAAGAGCCTTTTGGATCTTCAGACTCTCCTGCTTGAACTGCTCATACCCGCGTCCGACGGACTCTCCAAGACCCTGGACAATGTCGAGATACATCTGAAGAGCCCACGATATCCAGAGACGAGGTTCTCTTTCTTTTCTTTGAGCGCAGCGCCCATGCCGCGGACAAGCTCGTCCTCCACGTCGCCTTGACCGGGGGTTGTGTTAAGGAAGTGAAAACCCGGGAAAATCTCAGACAGGGCCGTCTTGTCCCGATTCCGCCTCTCAGTGTTATTTCCGCCACCGGCACCGAGCCTGTCTTCATACCAACCAAAGGCGCCGTTGTAGCTTCCAGATATGACAGCGTCACGGTTGTGATCTACTAAGCTCTTGAAAAGACCCATGCTGTTTAGAGTCAGGACCTTGGCCACGTCGTAAGCCGCAAGGTTGTACATTGCGCCTGGGCTATTCCTTTCCTTGTCGATTCCTAGCCCCTCACAAGCTGCGTTGAAGCACAGTTGCGCGAAAACAGTTGTGCCGCCGAATTTGTCCATCACCTTCTTGATGTCCATCTCCATGCTGTGGGCAAACTCAAACGCTGTGTTGGTAGCTAGAGCCACAGTGGCAAGATCAAGTTCACCATTGGCGTACTTCTCCCAGAGCGAATGAATCTCTTGGCTAAGATAATCATAGTCGCGGAGAAGCGTGGTGAAAGCGAAGAAGGCATCTTCCCAGGTGACCTCTTCCTCGACGGTGTATTGGGTTTCAGGTGTAGGTGTAGCAGTGATGTTAGGAGCATTGAGGAATTCTTCTGAAAAGGGTGTAGACGCTGAGGACGTCAAACATGCCCTTGGCGGTGTGGTTTGTCTTGACATCTGTCTTTTTGTCGAGATCATCTGGTTTGAAAAGACCAGCTTCCATGATGGGTTTGAGATAGCCGCGGACTTTCTCCAGGACCTCAACGAAATGAGAGTAAGAAGCACCAGCGACGATCCCTTCTTGCACCGCTCTCTGTGAGCTTCTGAGAGAATGATCGTCGAACTATAAATAATATTAGCAAGACTGGAATCAACATAACCAGATGCGTTCAACACACCCCAGAAACCTCTCTCCAAAGCTACAGCAGTCCGATGAGGAACCGCAACAGCATTCGTCTCGGCAACATGTTTCGCCATAGCCTCAAAGTCCCTAACTCTGATGACATATTTCTTTGTGCTAGGGTCTTGCTTCTCCTGTGTTTTCTTGTTCTTAGCTCTGCTAGGTCCCTTGCTCTTCTTCCTTTTCTTCAGAGTGTCGAGAGCCGCTGCGCCAACTGCACCGTCAGCGTTGTGGCCGTGCGCTTTAGCAGTGTTGGCTGGCTATATTGCTACAGAGTCTTTGTCGGCTTGTATTGTTGGTACATACTCATATAAGCTGGGGGGAGCATTTTGAATTGATTTTACTTTATTTGTTGATTCTGCTGATATCTGTTGATATTTGATGTTGATGTTGATGGTCTGTTTGCTGAGACGTGGACAACCTCGTTGCTAGGAAGTGGCTAGTAACAAAAAGCAATGCCAGCTTCCCCTGAAGACGGATTTATCAAATTCCGCTTGGGACCATCTGTATGCTTGTCTGACTATCGAAAGCCATGTTTCAATATTCTGGTGTTTTCTCATGCAAGATGACAAGATGACCTGCATTTCTAGTGCATCCCGGCAGTAGATGGTGTTTTATGAGGGTCACGAACCAGCATCGGCAGTCAGTAATGCCACCACTCCACAATCCACCAACTACGCCTACACCCGGAAATAAACAAGATATAAATAGAACCAAAATAGCAGCATCCATCATTTGAAGATCAGATTCATACAACACAGCATAAATAGAGAGAAGAAACACAGAATAACCCCCCCACGTCAAATGCACGTGAGGAAAATGGTCTGCAGTGGCCCGCTGCGCTCTCTTCCCAAGACCACAATCAGATCACGACGATCACCTGCCCTCCCCCCTCACGAATATTCCATCAATTAAAACGCCCAATTCACAAGATCTCTTCTAGCGTTGTCTCTTCTCTCAGCTTGTTGCTCCCCCACGCTCTCTTCAGCATTCCTCTCTGAGGTTACACGGCAATTGGCGGGTGCTATTGGACAAGCTGGACGTGGGGGCTAGAGTAGTCAGGCGACTTGTGAACGGACGGTACCTGCTTCTGCGAGGATGATCGCTGTTTGTTTCTGGTCTCTGTGATGGATGGCAGCCTTCACAATATGCTCGACATCTTTGCTTCCATTTCGTAAAGGTGGCGTTTGTGTAACTCTCCGTGTAAGTGATCCCTCTCAAATGCCCCTGTATTGATCCATTGAAACCCTCAATTGCAGTAGAAAACTGCACTGGAGACCCCCACGATCACTTCATGTCTCTTGACTCGCGTGAGGTCACCGGTTCGGCCCGGAGTCTCTCGGCCGGAGCTCAGCGGATGTCTTGTCGTGTCTCTCCCCCGCCTTTTCACCACGCACCCAAGGATCCGGACCTAACCCCCACGCTTTTCGAACCATGCCTCTCTCGAACTCAAGAGCCTGAGCCTGAGAATGGGCTACCTCATGACAAGGACGCCACTCTTATACCTAGTCCTTGGTTGGACATAAAAGAGCAGCTGACGCCAGCCTCTTTTGAACAATGCCTCTTCAGCATACTATCCTTTCTTCGTTTTCCTCTGCTTTGCTTGTATAAAAAGAAACTGCTTGCTGCGTGTAATCTGCTTGCACTTATATACTTTGCACTTATATCATACCATATGCCTTCGACATTGCTTGAATCTCCCACCATGGGCTCTCCCAAGGCTTCTCAGCTGCGCCTCGGCGATGGCGTATACGTTCCTACCCTTGCGTTCTTCACTCCCGAGGACGAAGTCGATACTTCAGCTACTGAGAAACACATCATCAAGCTTCTCGAGTCAGGAGTAGCTGGTATTGTTGTCCACGGCTCCAACGGAGAATGTGCCCACCTCTCTCCTTCAGAACGAACCACCATCATCCGCGTTGCTAGAGATACCATCTTCCACGAGGGAAGCGGTACGCATGTTCCTCTCATCGCAGGCTGTGGTGCCCAGAGCACAAGGGAGACAACTGAACTGTGTGAAGACGCTGGCAAGGCTGGTGCTACACATGCTCTTGTTCTACCTCCAAGCTACTACGGTGGACTTCTTCCCGATGATCTAGTCATTCAGCATTACTACACCGTTGCAGACAAGAGCCCAATTCCTCTTCTGGTGTACAACTTCCCCGGCGCCGCAGCTGGTCGAGACCTCTCATCCGACACGATCCTCAGCATCGCCAAGCATCCCAACGTCGTAGGCGTCAAGCTCACATGCGGCAACACTGGAAAGCTCGCCCGCATCGCAGCTGATTGTCCAGAAGGATTCTGGGTCGGAGGCGGCAGCGCAGACTTCATCCTTCAAGGCCACGCCGTCGGAGCCAACGGCACCATCTCAGGCCTTGCCAACCTCTGCCCCAAAGCATGCGTTCGCATCACAGAGCTCGCAGAAGAAGGAAACTGGAAAGAAGCCCGTCAGCTGCAAGCCAAAGTGGCCAAGGCTGACTGGACGGCGATCAAGACTGGATTCGTTGGCGTAAAGGCAGCACTGGGACACTTTTCCGGGTACGGAGGCGAACCTAGACGACCTTGCGTGGCGCCATCTCAGAAGGATCTTGATACTATTGCACAGGGGTTCCAAGAGGTAATGGATCTTGAAGTTACCCTTTGAAAAAAAGCATGTTTTTGGGTCTGGGGGACAAAAGCAGGTTGCATTGAGCGGTGACGACGTTGATGATGACGATACCTGTTATTTCGAAGCAAAGCACGGAGATGGTGTTGTGGCGTTAGGCATACACTACACAGCCATCAATCATACCAGGCTGTTTTGTAGCAATAATTTCGATGTACATAAAAATACCAATTTAATGCTTGGAGGATATACATCATATGCCTGATTACCCCATGGAAACTACCATTCCCCGCAAAGTGGCCATATTTTTAATAATCCCACGCGTGTGCAGCAGAAGCCGGTGAGGAAAAAGATGTGTCTCGTGGTCGATTGTGCGTAGCCAATGGGGGGTGAAAGTTGGTGAGGAGCACGCTGGACATTGCCGCTTTGGGGTGATGATGCTTACACGAGGTGTCGGATGTTCAATGGGGATATGCTGGGTGTACGAGCTGGAAGAGAGACGCTTGGATGGGGATTGTCAATCGTGGGGAACCCCGCAGTTGGATCTGGATGTGGAGTTGACGCTGTGAAAGAGCAAGTAAGAGAAGCTGAGTTTGTAATGGTGTTGATGTCCTCGGAGGGAGCCCGAGTCTGTGCTGTACCTGTACTTCACTACATGCCTACATGCAAGTCAAACCAGGTACTTGTACAAGCTTAGAACTACTGATATACATGCAGCACAACTGAACAGGCAGTGAGAACATGCTCACGCCAAGAATCACAAGCAATTCATTCATGAGGGGGAACAACACGAACAGGTCATAAGATGAACCTAGAAAATACATATGTAGCACAGCCAACACAGGCAAAGAGGAGAATGTGGAGATGGCTAACAAAGTGCCCGATGCGTTCGTGTGGAGAAGCGTGGGGGGTTAAAAGCACTCGGGTGCAGTTCCCGGGCTGAAGCTAAGTTGAGACGGTGAAGAAAGCGTATGTTGTCGGTAGGTTTCGGGCCATTGATGCGCGAGATCATGCCATTGAGTTTATATATGTAATCGATGCTTCTATGGATTGAGGGTCTAGAAATCGGCTGCGTCAAAGTTGCGGATCAAGTCGTAGTAAAACTTGACAATGTCCACGTGCGACTCAATCCTGATCCTCTCGTCGACTGTGTGAATGTTCTCTGAACCGCGCTGTCGACTCGGTGTCCAGCGGTAAATGTTTGGTGATAAGTCTATAATCTATTAGCATATTCCCTCGCCTCGTGTAACAATGCACTTACTCAGGTAATGTCTCGTGTCGGTGTTACCAGTCATGATTTCACCAACAGGTACAACCTTTCCGCCGTCAAAGGCAAAGCTATGCTGGATTGTTCCGGAGAAAATGTCCCAGATTGGGCCGCTGGTAGGTGATACGGGTGTCGTGACTGAGTTGCGGAACGCTGTGAGTTTAAGATGACCATCGTAGTCAAATCCAGGTTTGATGTTTTGAGACTTTGCGTCATCCTCGTAGGCGCTCAGGGTAAGATTGTACTTTTGAATAACGGCGTCAATGTTCTTTACGAACTGCTCCTGTACCTTGTCAAGACTGTCTTGGGGTGCAACACGGTAGTTGACACCAAAACTGACAACCTCTGGCATAGCGTTGATCTTCTGACCGCCTCGAATAATATCGACCGCTTGTGTCGTCTGAATAGTAAATTTGGCCATGGGATCAAGATGAAGAAGCTCATCCTTCAGCTTCTCCAGATCATCCTTCTTTAGAAGATCATGAAGCTTGGTGTGAGAATCCGGGGAATGGCGTGCCAAGCAGACAAGATGGTTGTAGACAGGGCTTCCCTTGAGGATAGCAGGTTCGTAGGGCTTGGATTCAAGAGCAGAGATGATCTCGGCCATGATACCGATTCCTGTGTGAGGATGGGGAATAGAACTGTGGCCGCCCTTCACGCGAAGTTCAGCCCAGATATCAATGGCGCCCTTCTCCTGCACCGAGGGAAGAACGTAGAGGGTATCGTCGATAAGCTGAATTCCCGAACCGCCCTCGTCCAAGATGAACGGAATACCGTTGTCGCCATATCTTTCCGTCAGAAACTCTCCAATCTTAGCAGCACCTCGAGGACCAGAGCACTCCTCATCGAATCCAAACGCCAGGATCACAGTACGCTTTGGTTGCCATTTCGTCTCAGTGAGCAACGTCTCAATGGCTGACATGAGAGCTGTAAGACTGTTCTTGTCATCCGATGCTCCACGTCCCCAAAGCCACTCTCCGTCAAAGTAGGCGTCGAAAGGCGGATGCGTCCAAGTCGATGGATCAGGTACGGGAACGACATCTTGATGAGCTGCAAGAAGATAAGGCTTGAGCGAAGCGTCGCTCCCGGTAAACGTGTAAACAAGACCGAACTTATTGATCTTCTCCAGCTTTGCATATTTATGTCTGAAACTTGTCAGTAAGAGTCTGTGAATTGAGTTTGGTGGCTTACATGGCTGGGTACGTCTTCGCCAGGACATCATGTAAATCATAGAAAGGCGCCCAACGTTCGTCTTTGTCCACATCACCTAGATCATCGTAACAAATTGACGGAACGCGCACAATCGCTTGATGACGCTTCACTTGCTTATTAAAAGCATCTTTTGAGTCAAATAGTTCACTGGCGGAAGGGAGACCATCGTTTCCGGGTGAGAGCACAGGCGGCAAATCGCACTTAAAGTCATGCTCATTCTGGCCAATGGGCTTTTGAGTTCCGAAAGGACCGAGGGTGAAGCCTGAAGCTCCAGCTACAGTCGCCAAGAGCGCGAGAGACTTACGCACCATTTTTAAGATATTTGGTGCAGAATTGGAGATGTCGAGGTTTGAGAGGGAGGATTTGTAAGGTGAAGTGGGCGGGGAATAAAGACATAATGGAGTCGGTAGCACGACATCGGCGCCGAAGCCGAAGCCGGACCCGGTTGAGATAACGGTTGCTAAAAGTATTCCCGATGAGGAAGTTGGGATAAAGAACTTTTGATGGAGGATTTTTTGGAGGTAAAACTGTGTTGATCGATGGGTTCGACGTTATTCCCGGGAGTATCTGGGGTTTTCTTTGATTGCCGCTGTTGTATGCAGGCTCCTAGTTAGCAATAGTAGTTAGCTACCTAGTGTAGTATAGACGGCTCAGTTAGAACGAACCTACTCTATGTATATCGACCATATCTCGGATGGTCTTTGGCCAATCAATGACTGATGCCACCTAGTTTGAAGGCCAAGTTGCGTCGTCGTTGTCGTTGTCGCCCTTGCGATCCTCGAGTCGCTTTTCCAGCCGTGCCACAAACGCGGCGAACTGGGGGATCTTGTTCCACTTGTTGCAAAACGCCTTCAATGCAGCGTACTGGGACTCCAGCCAGGCCTTCTCCCTTTCGATTCCGCCTTCAAACCCATGCTGTAGAAGGACCAGCTCCCACCCGAGCTTCGAGTAACAGACTGGGCAGATGTACGGAGGTATCTCGCCGGCCTGGCGGATCCCACTTACGCCTTGCATTAAGCAGGCGTAATATTTGCAGCTCCCCAGGCCGAAGCAATGGCCGGCTTCTCGAGATACAGCAACGACAACTCTGGCAAACCATTGGTTCGAGAGTTCCTCCCTTGTTGATGGCTGCCCAGCTTGCTTGGCAGCTTGGATCTCAAGATCGAGCGCAGACTCGACGGGAGGTTTCCCAAAAGCCTTGGAAGAGAGGCGGTTCCTCTTCTTCCAGCCTTTGGTCTTATTTAGGACTCGGAACCTCTCATCCACGTAAGCCTTACAGCGGCTCGCTGGCCACCTGTGCAATGGGTTGATGCCTGCCAACCCATCTTAAGATGGTTTGTAGCGAAATGTAGACAAAATTGCGACTCTATCTGAGGCACATGCTCTGCCTGTCACATAGGCTCCCTCGCCATCTTCGTACATGTCATGGTCGACCACCATGACAAACGAATGGGCAGTTGGGGGTATACTGCGCGTGAGCGCATCCCTCAAGTCAGAGACATCAAGTTGTATCTTTGAACGTCATCTGGTGATGGGCGGTACCGAATCTCAAAGGGCTCTCGCCTATTTCGAGTCTTAAGGCCGATGACTTGTGTTCGTGGAGTGTCGACGAAATGAACTCGCTTGCGCTGTTCAATAGGTAGAAAGGAGATCTTTTTTGGGTACTGGGTGATTTGCATCGTGTTGCAAAATGCGCGGAGATAAACGATCAGTTGTTTGAACATCTTCAGCGTGGAATTCCATCTCTCTGTACCGGGGGGAGAGTCTGGTGGCAGGACTGGCTTATTCCAGTCTCTCATCTCCTCAGACGGACGTGTCATGCTTGGAGGTCTGACGACATAGAGTTTGTTTCGACGGGAGATTATCCCATTTCGCTGCTGGGTGGCTCCCATCTCGAACCAGTCCTTAAAAGACTGGCCCTGCTCTTCTGGCTGCTTGGTGAGGTGATCTCCGGCAACACCAACGGTCCGGGAAAGCTGCATTCATCATCTGCAGCATCCTCCTTGGAGAGGTATGCCCCCCTGGCCAGTCTGCCAGTCTTAGCCATGGCCAGGGTCCTCTCCTCCGGAGATGGTCGCACGAATCCTGCATTCGCTGCAGCTCTGCTACAATCGACGTAGGTAGACGAGTGGCCGCAGGTGGTTGACATTGTGACGTGTTGGAGGTGGTGAGAGAGAAGAAGGGGAGGGAAGACGTATGTTGTGGAAGTGAAGGTGTGTATCGTAGAAGAAGATGCGATGAAAACTGGTAACAGAGAATATGGTTCTGCTGAAATTGATTCAGAAAATGAAAAGATGGCCTGTAGGATAAAGACAAAAGAGTAAGCAATCGTTCTGAAATTCACCACATAGGCCTCTAAGTAGTATCGCCAGACTACTTTTCTAGAAAGTCTTTTTGCTTCACTGAGGATTCGATCACTTACCTTGAATACCTAAGGACTGGCGCGAGGTTTTGTTACTTTCTTTGCACTATTTGAAGAGTCTCTGTGATCAGGAAGAGTGAAATTTGAGTAGAAAGATGGACGCAAGCTGGAGGTTAGCGGGGCACTGGCAAGTTCATGTAGAGCGAAGAGAGGGTCGGCGCCTAAGGCGGAGGGGAACAATAACAATTGGACTGCGCAGGATTGGCGAGTACTGGACTTCAGAAATTGATGATTGTATTCTTTTGGGCCGAATACTGCATGGGTTGGTCTCGGGAAGCGAGTGTTTATGTCAACAATATACAACATCTATACTCGCTCGTCAATAGTTTCAGTAGAAGCTGGGGAGGTCTAGACAGCATAGACATGTATTATAATCCCTCAATGATTCTGGGGCGTTCGGTATGTTCCTGGAGATATTTCGTTGATAATCCAACAGTCATGCTGCATCTTCTTCGTACAATTCCCAACCTCAACACCAAAAACACCACAATAGGGGACAATAAACATACCTCCCTTTTCCAAAAGCACGAGCATACAATAAATAATACCCTTTGATGCTGATTTCTTTGACATTTTGTTCAAAGAGTTCTTTTACTATCATTGTGTTCTGCTCTTCGGCCCATCTGTTCACCAGGCAGACCCCTCCGTTCGCATGCCATTGTTCACTCGAGCCTTTCAAAACATTTCCTACTACCAACATCTCAATGGCATCTAAATGTTCCAGCAAGAACATTTAAACAACGACACGTCTTCACTTTCATATTATCTCATACTCAATCATCATTTATTCAAGCAATCGAAAAGCACTTCAATCTTATGCTACAAACGCAAAAGCACCATCAATTCCTCGTTCCAATTCTTATGCACCACTATATACTCGATCATTTATACTAGAACACATACTGTCAGTTCGAAAACACCATTCTATACTCCCACGATCCCCCCTAACATTGTCAGCATCAACATATCCCCTTCCAACCATACACCATGCCTCCTCGTTTCCACTCCCTCCCTCCCGAGATCCAGGACATGATCCTGGAAGACATTTCCCGAGAACCCTCAACCGCCCCTTACGCCACCGTCTGCAAGTCCTGGCAGAATTTCTTCGAGCGCAAGAATTTCAGGTCGTTCGCTATCGAGCAAGATGACCTGCGCTGCCTCTCACGACTCCTGACCGCCCGACGCCAAGGTTTCGTCAAACATATATGGTATCGAATCTATCTTCCTAATTCCAATCCCAGGATTTCAACCAAAATCAAGAGGTTCGAAAAGCCTAAAGTAACATTCCGTGCGGACAGGGTCTTTACCCATTCCATCTTTGGACTCTGGGATATCCTTTCTCTATGGGATCCAGAGAACAGAATCACCCTTGAGCTAAGTGTTTACGCATACGACGATTGGGCTCCTATTCTGCGGCAAGAGCGTATATTTGAACGGGATCTTGCAGCGTACAAAGTCCACAAGGAGTCGGGGTCAAGAGAACCTTACCGTTACGATAATCCTCACGGACCTTACATTGAACAATACAGGTTGTGGGGCTTGCCGTATGCTGATCACAGGATACGGGGTCACTGGAACGCCTGTAGGCATGACCTCATAGGTTGGAAGGATATTGAACTCACCACAGCAAGACGCGCAGATGCACGACCGTACTACATAGAGGAAAATGCCATCCTCCCTCGCGTCCCTATTATCTCCAAGTTCCTCATCCGCAACACGCAATTCCGTCGAATATATCCAGGAACTCTACTTCAAATGTTCAAAAGTTTCAAAAACCTTGAAGATGTCACGATCGAGCGATGGGCTTCTGTCGACGCCGGTGACGAGACAGATTGGACCCGACATGCCTCTGTAGCTTTTGCCTCGGAGCTCCCAGCTTCAGTCAAGACATTGTCCATCAATGGAAGAAAATGCGCTGTGTTCCAGGATTGGGTATCACGCGATGTTAAACTAAGAAACATTTTAGCCAAACGCTTCCGCCAATACTCCAAGGAACTGGCACACATGTCTGTAACGGACGTTATCGATGCCAAAGACTTCCTCGATCTCTTCCGCGCCTCCGTCTCAGAGGACGACTTGGAATCATTGATAAGGTGGCCTGATCTTGAGACACTTACGCTATCGACAGATTTATTCGAGACGCAAAATCGAGTCAAAATAGAGAAATTGCTCTGCTCTGCGGCGAGAGCAGCACGAAAGATGCCACAACTTCGAAAACTTGAAATCAGGAGCAGCAGACATGCACAATGCTTGTTTCGGTACAATGTAGTCGAAGCTATAGCAGAGGTAACGTGGTCAGGGCCAGTTGTCGATAGTACCGATATTATGAAGGAGTGGGAGAAGACATCTGCATGGAGAAACAACATTGACGTGATAAATGATTTCTGAGTATGTAAGCGAGTCAGTTGAAGGACACATGAAAGGCAATGAGGACACTGGTCCTAAACGAATATACGTTGACGAAAGTGATGGACCATACGCGGACGAGGAATGCATTCACAAGGTTACAAGGAGGGTTGTTTCAAAGCGTTGAATCTTATTCATAAGACCCATCACATTTTACAAAAACAGTTTAGATAAAAACAATAATGATAGTTGATCGCATTTCTTACGTCAAACTGGCCAACTCCGTATGATAACTATACAGTGACAAAACCATAACGAACGCCGCGTATGCATCCAGTGCTTGCACAAATATTTCTCAAGCAGCCTTTCTCTCTAAGCATCAATCTTCTCAACACGAGAATCCTCTCCAGAGTGAGACTCGCTATTTCTACCCTTGTCATTTCCGCGGAAGACGGCCTCATCTCTCTGGGCACGGGTGATGTATCCAGGTGGAACCCACTTATGACTGTTCCAAGCCTTAAGACCCTCCTGACCATACATGAGATCGACATTCTCCAGACTGAGTTGTCGAGATTCGAAGAGGAAGAACCAGATGAGAAGAGCGGCAGCCAAGTTGGTTCCAACCAGGACGAAACCAAAAGCATACTTGATGCCAGCGTCGGCGATAGGAGAGAGGAAAGCGATCATCCCTATTATGGTTGTTAGAAGCAATTAAATCCCAAGGATGGTTGTAACTTACAGTTACCAAGCCAGTTACCGGCAGTAGCGATAGCGGCTTGCTTGGCACGAGTACGGAGAGGGAAGGTCTCTCCTATGACGACCCAAGCCATGGGACCCCAGGTACTGGCGAAAGATGCAATAAACATGCACGCGCAGACGATAAGAACGATACCGACTGTGCTGTTTGTCTCGGGATTGATAGCCGTACCAATCGAAGCAAACACGCATAGCCAGGCAGCTTGCCAAATAGCACCGATGAGCAGAGGCCAACGACGCCCAAATCTCTCGACGAACCAGAGACCCGCGAAAGTAGTGCCAACGTTGACAGCACCCAGGATGAGCTGTGTTTGGATAGGGTCCTCAATTCCAGCAGACTTGAAGATGGTGGCGCCATAGTAGAAGAAGTAGTTGACACCGGTCCACTGCTGAAGGAAGTGGATGAAGAAACCGAGGAATGTGCGCCAGACGAGCTTGGGAACCCCGCTCTTGGGGTTGAAGCACTCGAGCCAGCCGCCCTGGCCGACTTGCTTCTCCTTCTCGAGGATGCCGCGCATTTCGTTCAGATCGTCCTGGACAAGAGGGTGATCAAGCTTATTTTTCATACCGCGAAGACGTCCAAGTGAGATCTGAGCACCCTCCCAGTCGCCCTTGGAGGCGAGCCATCGAGGAGACTCGGGGACACACAGGATACCGATACCGAGAGGGAGAGAGAAGCCAATGCCGAGGCCAATGACGATTCTCCAGGATGCGTCGCTGTGATCGATCTTCTTGAGACCGAGACAGACAATGTTGGAAACCAGGATACCGATTGTGATCATGAGTTGGTAGGAGGCGACGACGGCACCACGGATTTCGCGAGGGGCGCATTCGGACTGGAACATGGGAACACCGACGGAGAGGTTACCAACACCAAGACCGGCAACAAATCGACCCATCATCATATGAATCCACGATTCCATCGCCGTGATCTGAATGACATTACCAATAATGAACAAGGCGACTCCGAAGGTCATGCTCTTTCGACGTCCCCACCAATCAGAAGTGCTGAGAGCTTGTCAGTTGACGTTTTGGGTGTTGCGCGAGGGTCGTTGGGACATACTAGGCACCGGATAGAGCACCGATCAAGCTTCCTATACTCATGAGACTGACCATGGTCGACTGGATAATAGGCACAAAGACCTTTTCGTTCTTATCATAGTCATAACCGGTTGCGAAGCGATCTATAAAGTCTCGGAAGAGGAGCATAGAACTAATCTGCCCAGTATCGTAACCGAAAAGGAATCCACCGATGGACGTGATAATGCCCAAGATGATGGACTCGATGCCGCAGTCGGCGCCATTCACCTTGATAGACCTGAGAGTGTTAGCTGGGATCGATAACCAGAATAGTAAGGGAGAGAAGAGACATACCTCTGACCCAGCATGGTTACAACGGTGTACGACTGTCTCACAGGTTTAATGAGAAAAGGAAATACAATAAAACTAGAATAAAGATCTGTTTCCAAAAAGCATAGAAAAAAGGGCGGGAAGACGAGGTCTTTTATTCTTCAGACACCAAGACCAAGACCTGGGGTATAAGAACGAAGAAAAACGGAAATGGCCCTGCCCCATAAGACTATTAGGGGGAAAGGGCAACAGTCGGGGGTCCCGACAGGGCATGTCTTTCCGTTCCGCGATGGATGATGATGATGGAGAAGATGGGATGGGGGCGGGCATCATTTACTAAACTTGGCAGTCGTCATGGGGAAGTCAAGTCAAGCCAAGTCAAGCCCATTTTGTGAAGAGACAGCCGTTGTGCCAGATGCAGATCACCTCACACTTACAGCACCCAAGACTCACTAGAGATGGCATTGCAGACAACAGAGCGTGGAGAGGTCCATGTGGTTATTAGTCTCTAACGAGGTATGACGATAAAGGGCCGATGTCAGTGGCGTTGCTTTCATCCTTCATCATCTGGGGTTTCTCCAGTATCTTTTTCCTCTCTCTCTCTCCATCTCTGCTGCTGGCCTCAGAACCTGAACCGCAACAAGGCGAGCGAGCAACTGCACTGAACAACGGGGCCTTGGGGTGTCCATGGGGGAACGAGTCAGTGCAGGTGGATCAAAGATGATTGGATTTCTGGAAGAATGTGGATGCGAATAACCCCTTGGCATGGGGTTCTCTCCTTCTGGGGTACGTACACCCAAAAAACTTGGCGAGAATTACAGTGGATGTCCTCTCTAATTTTCTTGGTGTTGTTAGTTGTAGAGTTTGGGCTATGACGTAACGTCCAAGGCACCGCAAGGTAAGCTTAAACCACCATGGGTGCCAGCCCCATTTTGGAGCGCTGGTATTGGTCAATCTCTGGGCTTACGGCATCGTTCTCGGTGCGACTTCGACCACGACCCCCGACGATCACTACGCGTTACACAATTCACGACACGCTCCCTACACAGAAGAGACAGACGTTGGAGAAAAAACCTTGATTGTGTAGCGAATTCTGGGGTTTTACTTGCGGAGAATCTCCAACGTCAACCACAGCCATCATCCACTCATCCTCACTCACAATCACAATCACACTCCGCTCGTCTATCCTTGGCTCAAGTTGCATTCATCGCCAAGTCTAGTGGGTCATCGAAACGATTCCTTGGCTCTGATACCAAGTACCGGCATATCAATTCGATCTTCCAAACCCAGCACTAACCGTAAAACTCTTTCAGCTCGTGTAATTCTCTTCTCTCCAACGTGACCTCGCCTACAGTCATACGGAGTACACTGACCACAATCCCCAGCCGTGAAATAGGCATAAATCACCCCCAAATTTCTACTCCGGACCCGCGTTGTCATTTCGGAAGACTCCTCCAGGACCCACCCGGAGCCGTGGAGAGCCGGCCGTTTACTCGGAGCTTCATGCCTGTCGCTGGGGAACGGACAATCCATCTTGCACCGAAGTAAACGGCCCTTTTTCAACATGTATACTTGTCAAAATATCTCAGAGCCCCTATTTTCTTGTCTTCCCCGGGCGAATGGACGCATTTATCCCCCACGGTCCCAACAGACGCAGTGAGAGATATCTGGGGACTCCTCATTCCCAACTCCGCGTTCAGGTACCCAGAATGGCGGAGATGGTGAATATGGAGCATTGTACTCTGTATGTGAATTTGTGAAACACCAGCTGACTCTGTGAACGGGCCCTATAAACGGCCGTAACTCGGCGATGCAGACCCAAACGTGCTTGAATAGTCGAGATATATCCCGTATTATCTTCTTCAAACATCCGACTTTTGTCGAACTACGAAGGATTCTCTTCGCGTATGTCTTCCGAGCTGACCTTTTCTTCGAGGCTCAAGGCCAGTGCAAACTCGGTGAGTGTTGGTACGTGAAATGCCAAGAAACTCTGAAAAGAACGCATGACCCAACTCGCAAATGGGGCTCATTCGATTTGTTGGATCATGGGCAATGCTCGATTACCCCTTTGATTGAAATGCAGAAGATGGCCAAGACATTGGTGGAGAAAGGTATGCAGAACTTTGTGAATAAGGGGTGATGTGATGGGATGTGAGTTATCAGCCATCCCCAACTCAGCGTTGCAACCTCTCACAACTCTATCTCTGAACCACATTTACGAGATAACCTATCACTTTCCAATACCTGAAGCGTCAGACAATCTGTCTTGCCTATTTTGTGATCACCGCTTTCAAGTTCCACTATATCTTGCACCATATTCTCGCGAAATCCTTATGTACATCAGTGATACCACACAAGCTTTTGGTCACGCGGTTTCGCGAGGCGAATCCATGAGCATAAGCGCCCATATATCGTTTTTCTACGAATCGGAACGTGTATATACTGTCCCTTGTTGACATTTATGTTCATATCGGTTGTCCTATCTTTCGATATCTTGTAGTACGAGACTAATGCACTACGCCTTTATTCGCGTTTATCTCCCGCGCTATCATCGACTAAATCTCGGGAAGCTGAATTGGGCAATCTCCGGCAGCTATTTCCAGCAGCCTCATTGTATGGTTGAGTTCGAACTTTTGTATCGTTGTTGACAAGAGGTCATCATTAGTTGTGGGCATGCGTTGTTCATCAGGCTCAGCTAAGGCCGCCAGGACGAAATCCCTCACCTGACTAGAAATATATGAACTGGCTGCAAAATCTACGAACAATAAAAAAGTCCAAGTAATCAGGCGATTACCGAACTCGGTGTAGAATCACTTCCGACCTGCCGGAGCTTAGGGTAGGCTAAATGATTTGCTACGAATCTCGAAGTCAAGCCCATAGTTTCGGTCACTACCATTCATAGACGTATTACCATTTAAGTTTAGAACGATAGACTAGAGATTTAAGGCAGCAAAAGGCTTAGAAAAGAGATAAGTTGGTATCCTTCATAGACTATGAGTTCAAAGTAATTGTAACTGAGTTCTGTTTGGTGATATAAGCTCTTAGCCACAGGTCTCAACTGCAAATTGTGACATGAAGATCTTCATATCGCACTGACATATGGCGCCTCACTTATCACCCACGCGAAGTGAGGGATTGAAATACAATATAACTTTTCTACTATAGCTACAGTCGCGGTTTCGACTCTTGAATTCTATCATACAATAACTATGCGTTTCAATTTGGGTATCGTTTCTCATAACTCATTACTCCCTTTTAGTCGATCTTCCCCTTAGTCGACCACCTTCAACATCTCGTACGCCTTGTGGCTGATGGCCTTCTGTACAATTTTGAGAGGCGTCATCTTCACCTTCTTCGTCTTCTGGGTAACATTACCCTTCTCATCCTTCTCGACAACAACCTCTTCATCCTCTTCCTCAAAACCACCTCCCTCCAAAAACACCTTCAGCAGTCCCTGTGAGTATCCGCTGACGAGGCATGTTCCATCCTCATCAGCCTTGACAGGCTTGGGCGCCGTTGGATCTCCACCGCTTCCGGTGTATCCTGCTCGTCCGCCTGCGAGGTTCCAGAAGACAAGCTCGGGGAGTTCGTAACCCGCCTTTTCGAACTTGGCCTTGATACGTTCGAAGGAAGTAGACCAGCTTGATGGTCTTTCAGAAGCCCAGCCTTGGTAGTAGCGAGAGTCTGAGGAGCTTGCGTCATTGAATTGCATATCACTGAATACAAAGACACGCTTGATCATATCCTCCTGCTTGAGCTTGTTCTGGAGAGCCATGGGAAGGATCAGGTCTTCGAAGACGGACACGAAGTTGGTGCTCATACCCCACTCCGATCTGTGCATGGCCCAGTACTTCTCCCTCAGAGTCTTGCTCAGGTCAACTTCCTCGACCCGGGGGTTCTCGCTGAAGGTGATGAATGTGCCGGCGAAAGGGGGCTTGGCGACCTCTGCGAGGAGGAGAGACAGACCAATGGCGGAATCGATGGGTGTGGTTTTATCCTTGAAAACAGGGCTGTTCATGCTGCCAGATACATCACATACCGCGATGCAGGAGTCCATTGTGCCCGAGTCCTTGATTCTCTTGACGAGGGTATTCCATTGCCCGTCGAGGACCTTGGCCTCGATCTCCGCGACCTTCTGGTCAAGAAGCTTGTTGGCTCCTGATCGATCAGAAGAACCGCCCATTCGAACCTTCTGGATCAATGTAGAGGGGAGAAGAGTAGCTCCAGAGATGTTGGCCTTTCCTTCAGCAACCTTGTCAAGGTACTTGCCGAAGCGCTCGGCATCGTTCTCGATGAACAGCTTGGAGTACTGGTTCATGGCGAGGGAGGGAACTCGGTCGTACTTGATGTTTTCGTACTTCTTGACGCTGATATCTCGCTCAACGATCTCTAGCTGCTTTCGGAGGGCAGACGTATCTTTGCGGTATTGCTCACGGGCGAATCGTAGATACTTCTCATGGTCGTCTCTTGGGCTAAGAATCGGGTGGTAGATAGACGCCCGCGGGTACATGATCTCGGCGATGGTGCTGACGATGAAGGTGTGTCTGTCGTGGAAGTGATCGGGTGAAGGAGCCCACTTGCCGCACAGCGAGATAGAGCGCTTGGCCTTGTCGTCTCCTCGAAGGGCTTGGATATCCTTCTTTAACTGCTCCGCGAACAGTCGAGCGATGGTCAGGTGCAGGGCGCGGTACACTGGATCAGTCTTGAAGAGGACCTGTGCGGTCTCATGGCGGTTCTCTCTAGTCTCTCGCCTGAGTTCCTTGGGATCGACCTTGCGATTCTGCTCTCTCATCTCCTGTCCAGATGAGTGAGATCCTCGGCCTCGGCCACGACCGCGACCTCTTCCACGTCCTCGGTCTCCACGATGAAGTCCCCGGAGTCTGCGGCCGTCACGATGACGAGGCTTGTTGATACTCTTGCCGCGGATGATGCCGGGGTTCTCGATGTTGAGGACCTCCTTAGGGTCATCAACAACAGTAAGCTTATCGTTGGCCGCAATGGCCAGGATGTTGAGGAGATCCTTCCAGTAGCCATGGGCGACTCCATTTTTCACGTCGAACTTGGTCGAGTCGTCGTCGTTCTCTTCTTCAACGAGGACAAGGTCATCGTCTTCCTTCTTCTCGGCCTTCTTGTTGATAACTGGGCGGCTGAGCCAGCAGAGGTTGGCGACGAGGGTCAAGGGATGGTTCTGTGCCAGCCAGCCAGCACAGCGGTAGAAGACTGTTCGTGAACTCTTGCCTAGATGGATAGAGCGAGCGTTGAAGATAATTCTGAGAGTAGCAAGGGGGTTCTCCTGCCAGGCTCTAGTGAGGAGATCCTTCAGGTGAGGACCAGAGACGACTTCCTCGAGTTCTTGGAAGAGGTCAACAAGGGCGTCTTGGCTAGAACGATAAGCGAGATCGCCGTTTTCCGTGAACATCATGTTTTCGAGGTTCCGAGATGGCTCCTGGTTCCCGTAGCTGATGAGGCCCTCCATGAAAGGGTTGGACTGGGCAGGCTTGGCTTCTTCCGCCTCCGGCTCCTGGGCAGCAGGAGATTCTCGGATAGTTTCAGAGTCTTGGGAAGCATGGCTCAAAAAGTTGGTGGCCTCCATGGCCTGACGGATTTCGGCAGAGGTCGAGTTGGAGACGAGAGTGAAGGTCTCGGACTCATCAGCGTCAGCCATGGTAGCAAAATGAGCCTCACGCTTATCGAGTAAGAGAGATCTCTTGTGTCGATCGCCGATCATCTGACGAATACATTCCTCAAACTCAACCTGTGGCAATCTCACGGCATCGTCGAAGGGGAAGAGAACGGGGTAGGATGACTTGAGAAACCAAGGCAGGTCTGATTCCGATGAAGACGCCATGGTGATGTATTATGACAAGCGGAAGCCTGTTGGAGAAGAAGAAAAGAATGTGAAAATAAGAGGATGTGTGAGATCTTATATAAGGTATAGATGCTGGAAAGTAGCTTTTGCGTGTGTCTTTTTAAGTTTGGGTCAGGACTGAACTGAGTGGCAGAAATCGGCCAGTGAGTCAGATGCTCCGTCTGCAGGTTGTTGAAGTCTCGAGAACCTTTTAGCAACAGTGGCAGAGGTAGTCCTGTGAAATGTAGGCTTGCATGGCTGTACTGGTTGCATGCGGCTGAAGCTTAGTGCTTTGGATGCCTGGAGGCTGAGCTAGACGATGAAGTTTATCCACATCGAACAGGGTACAATTTGGGAATCGCCGAATAGTATGAACTGATCAGAATTTATACATGGGAATTAGAGATGTGACTGGTCAGAAAGTAGTGATAATTATTGGTTCTACGGCTCTACTTCTCATCATCGGTGTTGGTTCAACATGTCGTTGTCTCTGAATACCCCTGTAACTGACGTCTACAACCCATGTCCTGGGAGTTCAACAGGGGGTCTTTTGCGGGGACAAGGGTGCTAAAACTGGCCGCTTGACTCACCCGGGAGCTAAGGACCTTGAAGGTACCAGTTACTGACCATACATCTCTGAGCTTTTCGGTCTCTCGTAGTTGCAGAACCTCATCTAATTTCTCCATAGCACTTGTAGCTATCAAGCTTGCATTGCAAGCCTGCTAACATTAGGTTCCTCAAAACTAGGATCAAATACATCCAAGAGCCTCCCATTACCTTAAGGCATATCACTCTAAGGAATATAGGGATCCTCAACACATCCCTCATCATGTTCAAATAGGTTCTCACCGTTTTAATACATAAAATTAGTCACCTCCCGGCTAACATCCAACATCACAGCGCCATAAAACTTTGCAAATCAAACATTAACGCGAACAACTATTTTAGGCTGGTTCTCTGCATCCCGCTCGCGCCAACCCAGCCTTTCGCGCATATCGTGCACCAAGCTATAATAGTCGCCACTGTCAGGCATAAAGATAAAGAAGCTCAGCTCAACAGACTCCAGGGTTAGCGGTAAAGCTCCGAGAAATTTAATAACGCTGTCTTTTTTAACAATAAATCGGGAAAGGCCGAAATATCGAAGTTGGTGCCAGTCGTTAACAGGGAAGATACTATGCAAAGAAATAAAGTAGTCTCCTTTCTCTCCATCAGAGTCATCAGAGTCGTCAGAGTCGTCAGAGTCATCAAAGTCGTCAACATAAACAATATTAGTAAATAGACTAAAATGTTAGATATCCCTCGCGCTGGCAAGCGTATTCCGCAAATAGTAACTTCGAAAAGAGCACCAGGTCATGTTACACTAGTTGCCACAGTGTAGGGAGAGGTCAAGGCCCGCGAACCCAGGATGACTTAGGATAGTATTCAGGTCTTTGATCTCGCTGTTCTCGGCGTCATCAAACATACGGCAACTGATCCCTGTCCGAAGCTAATTGGTATCAATAGCCAAGTCGGCAAGTTTACTCTCTAGATTCTCCCGTAGGTGTTAGGCGATAATGCGACTAACGAGACAATAGCCGCGCCATCTATCCTTCTCCAAGCAATCCCAATCCCTCGCTTCAGGAAAGTTGGAATGCATCTTTATAAGAGGCCATCCACGCTCAATAGGGTAAAGGAGACCACATAGGAGTGATCTAATAGTAGGCGTGAGATACCAGGGCAGCCCAGGTTTTCCATAAGCCGCAGGACTAACTACCATTCGTCTCAGATTGGGGAAACGTAGCAGCCCATACTTCAACGCATTGGCGTCTCCGTTGGTGGCAATCGTCTCTTATTGTTCTTACCACAATCTCTTGAAGTGCTTAAATGCTTCTGCTGGGCTGAGTAGATGTTCAAAGGCTTCTTTGACTTGGCTATGGTGTGGCTTATACCTCCTGATCATTCCTCGATTCTGGCGGTAGACGTGACGATACCATTCAGGAACTCCAGTGACTTCACCGATATCATCTTCTTAGTCATACTATAAGGGCCACTCCATTTCATAGGCTGGATCAAAGCGTGCATCATCGTAGATAATCTCTGTGACCTAGAGCCGAAAGGTTTCGTGATCCGCAACAGCTCTTAAGACCTCTATATCGCAGAAATTAGGCGAAAGAAAGAGGCAGTTAAGACGGAGATGCATAACATCTTTGATATAAGTGCATATTTAGCGCAGAGTTTTCAAGTCGATATTATGCAGTTAGTAGAATACTTAATTAAGCACTTCGGCTAGAAGACGCCCAAGAAGCCCAGACGATCCTCGGCCTTCATCATTGGTGGTCATTTTCTCAAGTCATTGAGATAGTTGAGATATTTGAGATAGTAAAGTCTCTAAACTCCAGCTGCACCAAGATAAAAGTAGCTTCTACCAATTCCGTGACTATATGAAGATAGGGCCTTGCGTGCAACTACTTACTCCGTACAGTGGGTCAATTTAGAGGCACCTAAAGGTGTCTTAGTGTGGAGCTTATGGGGATAGAGTAGGAATGACATGTCTTTTCACATGAGACCGTTGCAACCTTGTTTCTTCCATTCCAACTTCATGTCTTGAAGTGTTTACTCCTTTATCTTCTTCTCCGTGTCTCCAATGCCTGAATGTTCGTTCTGCGGTCGTATCGTCGAGTGATGAGACCGGTCACTGTCCATTGCTGATCAGTCTCATTCAAAAGACACCTTTCTTTGACAATCAACTTCCAATTGTTCAGTGTGTTCTTTGTCAACTGCGGCGCCAATCCCTTGTTCCCCATACTTCCCCTGTACATATGTACCTTGTGTTGTATCTCAATGCGTCTCGGGTCTCGTCTCTTCTTTTGTGGTCTCTTCGTACGTCGTGTCTCCTCCATAAAGCCAGCGCTTTGGGGGCTATTCGTTCGTCTTCTCCTGCAACATAATCAAGTCTGGTCAGTTACAGCTTGTATGTACGGTTGTAGGGAGAACCTCTATATGGATCAAGGAGTGTAGATGCTTCGTAGATCCGATCGCAGTCAAGACAAGTGGTCTGATGGATATGAAAGCAACCGCAAGTGCAAGAATAAGGGGGAGAGGCAAAGCGAGTCTTCGAGGATGTGACACTTTGTAAATACGTGTGTCTGTGTTCCACTCTGTCGTGACATGGACTTCGGGCATGGTGTCTTCGAGCGAAGGCCTGCTGGTCCATCAGTATGCTCCGATGGATATCAAGGCCATGCGGTAGTCGTGCTTCTTACTCTTGTCTCGCCCATGTGCCGCTCCCAGGTCGTTGCATCTTTGGTGGAATGCTTCCTCGTCTTTGGCCGATGTCTCGTATGCCCCGTGGGAAAGCTGCCGCCGCCGCAGCTGTTATGATCGAGGAAGATGGGGATGACTGTTGCAGATGGCCGATGCACATCGTCTGTTTGCTTTACGGGTTCGGGGTCGAAGGGTGGAAAACACCATGAGTCCATGGTGGTGATACTACGCAACGATACAAGGTTAGTACTCTTCAAGATGCACTGCTCCCTTAGTGAGGGAGCTAATACTCAAGACCATCGTGGGCATATTCATCTCTCGAGCTCTGAGTTCCATGACCGTGTGCTGGTGGATGAAATTCCCATGTACTGGACGAAATACAATATGGATGAATCAAAACAACAAGATGGCGATATCGTGATGACTTCTGGGGGACTAGTGGGGTCCCGAATAGTTTCAACAGTGGAGGGGCGGGACAAAATGGGATGCAGGCCACCCACAACACCAAGCAACAACACCACTTGGACTGCAGAAGAGCAAGTGAAAGTTGGCATGGGCCATCTTGCCAATAACATCTACCTCCGACAATATTGGGATTACGATTATATTATCTAGGTTCAAAATTCAGGTCGAGTGTCAGGGCGATATCGTGCTAATGAACAACATATGAACATGACATGAACATTGGTCTTGATGCTTTCTTCCAGACCTGTGAACAGGATGAATTTTCTGCACCGAGGTGGTGCATGTCTCGATACCTTCTACTGCTTTCGTCACGCTGCACTGCCGCTCCTCCAACTTCTTCTGAGCCCCTCCGCTGCTAGGACTAATTCCACTGCAGTGCCTCAAGGAGTTGACATCCAGCAATGCCCTACCCCTGCCCACAAGAAACTCTGCAATTGCTGTCCCCGGAGTAAATACTCAGTGCCCTACTCCCGAGTATCACTGGCAGCGTAACTGGTCGTCACCTGGTCACCGGAGTCCTCTGCCTTTTGTTGACTCTGCTCTCCTATAGGCTAGGGCTTGACGCGTTGTAGGCTGCATCTTCTGCCACGCTCGCGTATATCTCGCTCTCCTCTTTTCTCCCCTTCCCCAACACCATCTCTCCCTCATCTCTGCTGCACAGAACAAGACTTCCCTTCACATCCCTTTACTCTGTTCGTGTCGTATCAACAGTATCTCACTCACTTACCTATCCATTTTCATCTTGATCTCTTATTTGAGAAGTTATAATCACCATACCCAATACCCCTACTTCCTGTTTACATCTTCCCCAACCTTCTACCTCCGCTCCTTTCCCCCTTCACTAACACTAATCGCCCCCGACATGTCTGCCCTTCCTCCAGATGAACATAGAGGTCCTACCTCTGAGGAAGGGAGTTGGGACATCCTGTCTTCCCGCTCCGGTGAGGTAGCCTCTCACTCCTCCGACTTCAACGGAGTTGGTACAGCATTTGGGGATCTCGACTCACACCCTTCCGATATGAGTCTTTCACTTTCCGCTGACAGCCATGAGGTCACACTGGCTTTCCAAGAGCGAGACGACATCCTGAAAGCAAAGCTTGCCAGCGTTGAAACTCAAATCGACTACATGACCAGTACTGCTAATTTCCCCAACCTCTCTTCGGAAGAGATTATGAGCCGTCGCGAAGCTCGCGAGCAAGCCCGAGCCGATCTTGTCAGGCTCAAAGAGGAGAACCAGGCCAACCGCGTTCGTTACGACGAACTCAGAGTAAGCCATCACCAGCCAAGACAAGCTCGTCGTCTCATATTAACCCTTTCACCTTCTAGGAGGATCTTATCAACTCTACCGATGGCAACCTCACCCCTGCACAGGTTTTGGCCAAGATTAAGGAATTGGACCGAGTTGAGGTAGACCTTGCCGAAAGCAACGCGGTGCTGCGTCGCATGAGTGAAGCCCAAGGTGACTCCTCGTCCGGTAGTGATGTAAGTATTTCCTATACCTCATTGAAACAGATGATTAACATCTGAACTTAGGGGGATGATGAGGCATCATCTGAAGAGGATTCGTCTGATGACTCGGACGAATCCAGCGTCCATGGAACCACCTCAGAGTCCGACAGCGATGGTCCACGGGAATAGGATCCCCCGAACTCTCTTGCTGATGATTCCTCAGAGATGGAGTCCCAATTCGCTCGTTCAGATGGCAACTCCGCTGCCGATGGCGGCAACAATGATGCATCCCCAGCCAACCAAGGCACTGCATCTGCTGATCAGGGCTGTCCCACCAACGACCAGAACGAGACTGTTTCCGTTCCTTCTGATGATCAGAAGTACATGATCAACGTCGGCTCAGTTTTCGACCCTAACAGCAACGCTAATTCTCGTCGTGTGCTTTTGGACAAAATCCCTCAAAGCACCACTCTGACTCAGGTTGCCAACGCGGTCTGTGGTGTTGGAGGCCTCGTCCGAGTCTCCGTTCTGGAGAACATCATCAAGAGTGGTACTGCGTTTAAGCTTGCCTGCGTTGAGTTCCGCGACTCGACCGCAGCGAAGAAGTACGTTGCCAATGTCAAGGCCAACGGGCTTGAGCTAGTTGACGCCAATGGACGATTCTTCGACATTGAAGTCAAGCTCATCAACAACACCTCGTCCTACCAATCCCGCCACGGGCACCCGCACAACTATGGTGTCGGTCATTACAACGAGCACTCTGGCCGCTGCATCACCCTCGACAACTTTCCCACCTCTGCGATCTGGTATCTGTTTACCCGATTCGGGACTGAGTACATCATCCGTGCTTGGTTTTCCCCCAATGAGAACCAGATGAACGGCAAACTGTCCGTTGAGTTGGCCAGTACCTTCGAAGCCGGTCGCCTCTGCGGAATGATTCTCAACCGCGGCTTCCTGCCTTACCATGGACCTGTCGCTCAGATGGGATTTGGTCCTACTCCCTCTGACCGAGATGTCGAGGAGCTTACCAGTTCCGCCTCCAACACGATCGACTACATCTCTCCTAAACATCTTGCAGATACCTGGAATGTGCAACCCTTCAACCTATTCACCCCCGCAACAAACTTCGTGTATGGTGTCCCTATCCCTCGACGAGCGGTTACAAGCCGTACTTCGTCGATGACCGTGGAGGTGTCGCGCATCCCATCTCACTACTCAGGAATGTCCAGTGTAGTGCCACACATTCTCGTCCGTGATGAGAAGACCTCCACCGACCTTCAAGATATTCCAATGACAAACATTACCCTTACCTTCGTCGATGAGGACATGAAGTATATTATCGTTGGTGGTCAGATCTTTTCTCGAGTGGTCACAGGAGATATCTATACCAAGGTCGATGGCGTCGAGCTTGTCAAGCTCAAGCAGGACAACATTCTCAAGGCCAAATGGGCCCCCTTCTGGAAGCACTACTGTGAGGTCAACGACCTCCCTGACATCCGCAAGTACGCTGAGTATGGACGAATCGCTGGCATTCGCCGCAACGTCAACAAGAAGTTCGGTTTCGCTTCCTCTTGGAACCCCGAGCGCCTCGCTGCCATTCCGACTCAGATCATAAACTATCTAAACCCAAAGAGCCGAAAGGTGGTCTCGACCGCTGAGGCCCCTAATCGCAAGTAGATCTGTACCAAGAAGAGTCCGCGATAACTAGGTACGCAGAACAGCTGATTAACAACGGATCAACCGTGTTCAGGGGAACACCTCAAAAACGGTTCAGCAATATTCGGCTGAAGTAATCAACAACGAAGGCAAGGGAGGCTTGCGACTATTTCCGGAATGTTGTTTGCACGCAGGTGAATGGTAATATGGAACACATGGGACATCTAAGGGCTTTGCTGTAACGGGATTTGTATGACATCTTTTTTGGAGCCCTGGGAAATCAATGAATTAATCAACGGTAGTTTAAGGTACTTTTAGGTAGCTCAATGTAAAAAAGTCATTTGACACAAAATGGGTATCTCTAATGCTATGTCCGCCGTGGCCGTATGCTTTTGAAAAGTAATTGCGCCTTCGCCTGTAATAATAAAATGCTTTCATGCAATCTTCACGAAAGCCATCTCCAACTCCGTAGCCAACCTTGACCTGTTGCTTTTCTTCAACTGTAATCATCTGCTCCCCATCCATTCGCACCCCAGTTCTTAGCCCGGTTCTTCTTCGCAGGCGGTTCCTCCACGACGAAAAGCACATCATCGTCATCATCCTCCTGACGCGGATCTGCAGCGACGGGCATTCCAAGTTCATCTTCCTCTCCGCCCGCGAAAGCCTCACTGACGCTCTTGAACTGCTTTGCAGGAATGCCCCATGATAACGTCGTTTGTTTCATGGATTTCTTCTTGGGAGCGTATGATGGTGCAGCGGAGGGTTGTTTAGAAACTGGTTTTGTAACCGGCTTGTCTGAGCGCTTTCGTTTCCTGTTGCGGAGGTATGCTTTGACGAGATCCTTGGGGAGGTTAGATTCTGGCTCCCAGGAGGGGTTCTGATCCGGTGGCCAGTCGCCTTCCCAGCGGACCAAGAAGTAGCGGACTAGACCTTGGCCTTCCACATCATAGAGTTCCATGTCTTCGAGGCGTTTGACTTCCCAGCCTGGTTCATCTGCCTCTTCTGGATCTTCCCCCACGGGTTCTTCTTGAGGAACTGGCTCTGGAGACTTGGGGATGCTAGTTTTGGGCTTTGACTTTGGCTTTGGAGGTTTCTTTTGAACTGAGATAGCTTCTTCGATGAGTCGTGCTGTCTGGGTTTCTGGCTCTGGATCTGGTGTCTCAACCCCCGAGTTAGAGTAGGTGAGTGACTCTTGGGGAGTCCAGTCTGAGGCGGAGCCTGTACCTTGAACGCCACTCAATAGTCCGCGAGAAGGTTGTGCTTTTTTTGAAGGACGGTCAAGCTTCTTTTTGCCTTCAGACTTTGAGCGTATGCTCGTGATTTGCGGCGTGCTTTGTCGACTTGAGGTCCCTGTTGAGGGGAATGACTCAAAATGTTTGCCCTTGGTATGACTTTTCTTTGGGGCATGAGAGTCGACAGTTGTACCATGCAACGGATCTATATTAGTGCCACTGAAAGCACTTTCTGAGTTCTCAACAGTCCCTCTATGCTCATCCAATGCCTGATCATCCGTCTCAGCCGAATTACCAGTCATTTCCCACTGCAACTGTCTCGCCGAACCCTCTTCATCCGACAACCCCTCAAAGTCCTTCAATCTGTTCTTCGTAGGGGTCTTAATCGTCATGGCCCCCTTCATTGGAACAGCCTCCTCATCTTCTACTACCGCAACAACAGCCGTTTCTATCGTACTGTGCTTGGGTGGTCTACCACGCCTCTTTGGCTGGGTGACCTGTCCAGCTTCTGTCTTCTTTTTCTCCGCCGCTTCCTCTTCAAGCTGTTCTTCCGTATTCTTGAATTCCCATTCTTCCAATTTCCTCGGCGATACGTACTCCAGAACATCCATTGCAGGAACCAACATCTGCGCCGCAGGTAGGTCCGTCCATGACACGATATATGTCATCCGTCTCGGTAGAGGGAGTCCATCTGCAGCAACGCCCGGCGAGGGAAGGATAATTCGCTCCAATATATACGCGGTCGAATCTTGGGGCGGAAGCAAGCTAATAGGCTGTAGTGGAGGGCCGCTTCCAGGCACATAATCTCTTGGTTTAGACCGAAGACGTACTTCGATCCTAGATCTCTTGTGTTCCTTCGGTTTTCGTTTTTCCGACTCGTCTGGCTCGAGCTGCTGCTGGAAGGACTCCATCGCTCGTGCGCCAACGCGAGTCCCGCGACCCGTGACGCCAGTTCTAGCAGAATTATAACGGAATAGTCGCCAATGCGATTGGGTGAGTAAAAATCATGTAAAAAGAAAGAGTCTAAAGCAGATCAATTAGAAGGATTTTTGATCTATGCCGTCGGCGTGTTAATAAAAATAAATCTGTTTTATGAGCTGCCCTAAAACGCGGCTTGTATCGTCAGAGGCTGGCAGCAAGTCTTAGAAGGAGCTGCTACCCGATGACTAAGCTAGAGTCAATGTCAACAAAGCCTAACACAGCATGAAAAGGCCTATAGGCTGTATTTTAATTAATTTAAAGAAATGGAACTTGGAATTGCCTTTATTTAACAAATATTTTTATAATACTTATTAATTTATTAATTAGTATCCTTAATCACGTACCTAGATACTAAAGTAAATAAGAAAAGTAAAATTATTCTTAACTTAATTAAGGCTATATAGCCCTTATTAGGGGGGTCCGGCTATCCCCTTCCTAATTGAGCCTCAATGGCGGCAGCGCTTAGCCGCGCCTAACCAAGCGCCAAACTTTTCCCTCCACCATGAGAGCACGAACACAGCTCTACCGAGCTTCAGCATCCCCACGTCACGCCAAATAACCGACGACGGCACAACGACATCTTCAATCTCCACTCCAAACCTCTAATTGACTTTTCCTTCCAAACCTCAATTGGCCACACCATCAATTCATCATGGCCTCTTCGCTCAAGACCTCCGTCTTGCGCATGCCGTTAACAGGTCTCGTGCGCTCATCACAAAAAGCTTCATTCTCAACCCTCCGCCCAGCATCATGTCTCTCAGCATCGCCGTTCCGACCTCAATGTTTCACACCCGTCGTCGCAAAGACCTTCTCCCGCACCTACGCCGATAAGCTGCAGTCCACCGAACTCCCCCCGCTTGACTGGAACAGCTTCTTCAAGCTGCGAGTTTCGCGCCGACGATACCAGCTCTTGTTCTCCATCACCAATGGCTTATTCGCCGGTGGTGCGGGTGCCGTTTTTCTCTCGACGGGTCTGGCGGAACCGATCATTTCGCAAATCCCTCTCGATCCGTTTATGACGCTGGGACTTATGACGCTCGCGTTCTCGGGTCTTGGGTGGTTGAGCGGCCCTAGTGTTGGAAACCAGGTGTTTTACCTCTTGAATCGTCAGTGGAAGAAGCAGATGACGCAGAAGGAGGCTCAGTTCTTTGAGCGCATCAAGAAGCATCGGGTTGACCCCACCAACTCGAGCGCCAGCAACCCTGGTAAGTTTTCATCTCGCTAGCTTCAAGTGCCGATCAAGTTACTAACTACGAGACAGTTCCCGATTTCTACGGCGAAAAGATTTCTAGTGTTTCTGGATATCGCCAATGGCTAAAAGACCAAAAGGCATTCAACAAAAAGAAGACTGCCAACTTCGTGTAAAAAAAGAAAAGAAAAAAATATCTCACATGAGTCTCTGTTGACTTGAGCAAAATGTTATTTGTAATGGCGCAGCTGATGGGCAGGAATGGCCTGTCCTTGGTGTGCTCGGGTTAACACGGGCATTGTATGTTGCATGTATGTATCATAAAATCTCTCATCCAATACGACTATCCCCATTTCCTCTTTTAGCTGGCGTCTTTTTTGCCTATATAAAAGGTACAGATGGGTCAACAGTGTCCTTCCATGACTTGATACCACCCAGAATATCGCCGATAAATCTCTCCCCGTTGTTCCCTAGTCCCAGGTCTTTGAGTTTCTGCGCGGCAATCTGCGAATCGTTGCCGACTCGGCAGACGACGTATATGGGGGTTGAATGAGGCAAATCGCTTGGCCATCCCTCGGGTGTTGCTTCACCACGAGCGCTCATGAAACGACTGATAGGGATGTTGACCGAACCTGAAATATTGCAGAGGTCAAAATGTTCCTTCTCTCGGACGTCCACGAGCAGCATATCCTCGTTCTCTAGCTTGGAGAGCTCATCGTACTCCTTCGCTGTGACTCGCTCATCCGGTTTAAGCAATTGAACAGGCTGCTTGACACCGCAGAACTGAATATAGTCCATTGAGTTCTTCAGCTCATCCAACGTCAGTCTGTTCTCATCACCACAAGCCAAACAAGTCTTTCTTCTACCCCTCATCCTCACAGATCGGAAAGGGGTATCAGCCATGCCGCTGAAAAGTAACAGCATCGGTGTCTTGACTTCCCCATGGGTCTCGAGATCACCTCTTGAAATCAACTTGATGGCCTCCAAAGCCTGTAAGATACCCATTGTACCAACAATAGGTCCAATGATACCACCCTCACCGCATCCAACCACGCTATCTGGTGGTGGCGGCGTAGGGAATACGCAGCGATAACAGGGGCCTTTTCCAGGAGGGTTGTTCAGCACGATTAGTTGGCCTGAAGTTTGAAATGCAGATGCTGAGACGAGAGGCTTTGAGAGAAGAACGCAGATATCAGAGATAAGATAGCGGGATGTAGGGTGATCAGTACAATCAAGGACTAAATCATAACCCGATACAATGTCCTCAGAGTTCTGCGGTGTAAGATGCGTGTTGTGCGCATTATAAGTTATCGTCGGATTCAGACTTCATCAGTTAGCAAGGAACACTTAGCGATGAAAGGGGTGTCTCACTCTTTGAGATATGTAATCGCACTCTGAACCTTACTCATACCAACGCGGCCCGTCGAATGCGCAACTTGACGGTGTAAATTCGAAACTTCAACTTCATCACCATCAACAAGACCAATCGTCCCAATCCCTGAACCAGCGAGGTATGCTGCAGCAGGACATCCCAGACCTCCAGCCCCAACGAGCAGGACCTTGGCATTCCTCAAGCGTAGTTGACCTATTCTTCAGTTAGCACCTTACTCTTGAACATTTAAATGGCAACTGACCTTGAAGTCCAAAGTTGGGAACAATCATCTGTCTACTGTACCTCTCATACTCGTGGTTATCCAGTGGCCATTTCCACGCTTCTTTAGATTCACGTGCTTGTGACTCTGCGGCTGCGAGTTGAGAGCGTAGATCTGCGAGTTCGACTTCTCGCTTTGCGATTTCTCTTCGAAGGTTATCAATGTCTTCCATCATTATTGCATGAGTGTGAATGAGATGTGTGAGAGAAGTGTGAAAGTTAAATGTCACGAGAGGATCAGCTTAGAACGGAGATATTGAGTTGAACCCCACTATGGAATGATAGTATGAGCAGTTCTAACATTTCTATTCATAAAACATTGCAGACTGCTAACTGATATAGGAACTAAATTCTCATCTCTTGATCCCATTTTTAGTCATAATTTCATTGGTAACTTTGCCTAACTTCTGATCGTTGCGTTGATCTGGTCATCAAGCCGTAAACTGCCCCTCCATGCCGTATCTCGGTGTGCCCCACCATCTCGGTGAGGGTGGCTCACCGAAAATGTTTCTCCAGTATCTTCACCTACACCTTCAATTCCACACCAAATCCTCCATCTCCAACACCCCAACCACAGCACAAAATGGTACAACCCCTTCCCTCTACATTCTCTCATATAACGTCTCACTAACAAACCTCAGGCTCCTCAACCCCCAGGTCTCAAAAAGCCCTCCGCGCGCACCCTCCGCCACCAGCGCATAACAGGCCAAATCCACCCCCAAGCCCCCCAAAAAGTCTTCCGCGACGACGCCGCCGTAACCGACTCCTTCCTCTCCAGCAAGCGCGACAAGCGGCTCATCAAGCACTCCTCCTTCGTATCCCGCATCCAATCAGCACGTATCTCAAAATCCACAAAGCGTCGAAGACCATCGAAGAAACTAGCAGCGAACTTAGAGAGTTTAGCTGACGCGCTGCCGGAGCTAGAGGAGGGCGCGGAGGTTGAGCAGGGAAAAGTTAGGCATAAGAGCTTGAAGAGTAAGAGGGGTGCGTTGAAGAGGAAGGAGAGGGTTGTTAAGGGCGAGATGGAGAGGTTTGGGGTTAGTATGGCGAGGTTGACGCAGCAGGATGGCGTGCCTGTGCAGAAGGTTGAGGCGGAGGAGAAGGCTGCGCCGGCGCCGACTGCGAATCGATGGGCGGCGTTGAGGGGGTATATCTCTTCGACGATGGAGCAGAATCCTGCTTTTGCTGAGAAGAACTAAGCAGGTCGACGTGGAGAGAATCTAAGATACCAAAGATGGAGATCAAGTCCATAGGCGACGTTACAAAAAGCGGCAGATACAATCTTCACAAAAGTTTGCTCAGGCGTATGGAGTTGGGATCATATACTTCGATCACAGGGCTAGGACAGGCAATAAAACTTATAACCTTGATCCTAAGTGACAAAAAGACTCAGGTAAATTTTGCATAAGCTTAGGGGCTCTTTGAGGAGTTTAGTTTGGCATCATCTAACAAGGTCTAAAGTCTTCATGCTCCCTACGGGAGGCTTACACAATACTTCAAAACAGATGCAATACTTGTCATGTTTATAAACGTAGAAATATTCTTCATAAGCTATGCTAATGCACGCGTGTCTTTTTCCATATCCTACCAAACGCCTTCATCGCTAACTCGTATTACTTTGATATCTGGGAGTATCATTAAAACAACAAACGCGTGTATGGGCATCTTTCTCTGTTACATGATAACCACATCCTCTTACTGCTCCACGCTACCACCAACGCCAAGATAAAAAGACACAGGTGAATAAAAAGGACAAAATGAGATGACAAAAAACAAAACTGATCGACCGTGACGCATCCGTCGTAAAATTCATTTCATTACAGTGGTGGAACAAGTGCATCATAGGGTCTCGATCACACTTTGAGGTGGGAGAGCTGTTCTGGTGCTGCTGGAAGACCTCTTACCCCGGACTTTGACGGGAGTTGGAGGACTTGTTGGAATCCTGGGCTCTTTGGTGACTCGGTCGGACTTGCATGCTCGTGGACCAAGAGGAGGTGAAACCTTGGAAGATCGAACTGGGTTCGAGTTTGTGCGCACACGATTTCGCATTCCTCTCCAAGGAGGTTGATCAACAAGTCTAGTGGGAGAAGTACCCTTGGGTTTAGAGAATTGACCCTTGGCAATTGAACCCTTGCCGTTTTGGTCGACGGGGGACTTCTTTGCCTCTTGAGAACGAGGAGGTGAACGGCGTGGTGACCGAGGTGGTGACCGCGGGGGCTGTCGGACGTTACGCGCCTTTGCCGTCTGGGCTTCTTTGATTTGCCTTAAGAGTTCCTCGAATTCTTCGCAAGAGCCGTAGCAGTCCGTTCTCTATTCGATCCGCGGCGGCGTCTTGTTCGAAAATGGGCTGGCGCTCCTCCTATCTTGGTTATTAGACACGTCATGCAAAAACAATTGGGGTCACTCACGATCGCCTGCGCTCGCCCTCCTTGCGGAGGTTTTCGATGATTCGCATCATCTCCTTGCGGCCACCATAGCTATCGACCATCTTACCACCCATGCTCATCGACACCTTCTCGCGGGCATTAGCGCAGAGAAGGCGCTTGACGAGGAGGTGGCGCATCAACAAGCAAACAAAGACACCACAGTCGCTACCGTTCTCCTGCTGGGGGCAATCCTCGAGGTTGATAAATCGAAGAGGTCGTCCGAGGATAGTGGCAAGCTTGCGAGTTGCAACGTTGGCCTCAGAGTAGTTGGCACCACCGAGGGAGTCGTAGTGGAAAGCGACACCATCGAGGGTCGAGACAAGGAGCAGCGACCAATGGCTACCACCCTCAGCGACACTCACATTACGATTGTCGTTGATGGGTAGGAAGATATGGGTGACCTTTGAGAAATCGGGAAGGGCGGATTGGACTGATCGGAGGTCGGGCTCCTTCATAAGAAGGAATGTCATGCTAGGACGAAGCAGGACGATGCGAGCTTGAGGATACTTGGGAAGTGTTTCGCGCTCCAGATATTCCTCCCAAAAAGCAATATTGTTATCTGTCAACCAGTCGTGCTTGAGCGCCTTGATATCCTCAGCTGTCAAGAGGACATCATAGTAGCTAAGATAGGGCTTCTCGGGAGCGAGCTATTGCAAGGCGTTAGCGTCAACGCCACGAGACAAGTCGCATTCCATGCTAAACTCCACCAAAAGCGCATCTCAAAGATAGGCGCATTGGATCGATACCTAAACAGGCGTACGGAGATGCGGGGTTACATACCGAATCGCCAAAGTGGCGGGCCATCCTCTGACGAAACGGCATCTTGTGTTGCTTTGATGTCGAGGATGAAGTAGATGTAGATGAGGTCGACGAACGAGGTGAGACTTCAGGAGAATACGATGTCGAGTCTGCGGGTGTGATCTCGTAGTCGGAATTGGCGGTTAAGGTTGAGTCCGAGGTGTCAGCCGAGCTTGAGCTGCCTGGTCGTCGTGATCGGCGGCTCCGAAAGTTGAGAAGACCGTGCAAACGGCTGTAGAGGGCAAGGATGTTAGAGGACGATTGGTAAAAAGACGGATGCACAAAGGGTTATAATGCGCTGAGGATTGAGAGGTAGTAGTTTGTAAAAGATGAAAGTGTTAAAGGATGCAGAAGCAGAATGGATGGAAGTAATCTGAGCTGAAGCAGAAGAACAGATGCAGCAAGTGGCAGTGTAAGTGACTGACGCGACAATAGGCGGAAGCGCAGTAGAAGCGGGGTCAACAGTGGTAATCTGAATAAGAGGAATCCGTACACAATAGAACAGCTCTTTTGAACTAGTGGCAGTGGTATTATACCGAGGCTTTTCAGGTAATTTTGACCCTTGTGCAACGTAGGGAAAAAAGGTTGAGGTCTGGGGAGAAAAAAAAAAAGAGAAAGGAAAAAAAAACTGGAGCGAAGGGCAGTGTCTGCAGCTGCCGCGTTGGACAGGAGGCTCAGCCCAGGACGCAGTGGAGGCGGGGCAGACGACGGCACTGGCAATTTAGCGCCAATGCCCTGGAGGCCCCCCCCCCCCCTGCTTGTAAGAGATGCAATGCGGGCAGCCAGCTTTGACTGATGCAGACGGACCTCTTTATCAAGTGACAAAAAGCTCTGGGCAAATTTAGTGTAGATTTAGGGGCTCTTGAGACTGGTCATTTTCATCACTTAGGATAAAAAAGGTTGGGCCTCCCTTATGCAGAGTGGTCATACGACGATGTGACGAAGAGTGGTTGGGGATATGGATGCCATTGTTCATGACTGAAACAGAACAAAGGCACTGGGCTCTGAATAAACGGAATGGGACAGAACAAAGCCAAACGAAACAGAACAGAACAGAACGAAACAATCGTCTTACTCACCCTGGTGTAGAAATATGCCCCGCATCATCTGAACCCATCATGTCATGCCACTCGAGTTTCAAGCTGTAACAAACAAAGCGCAGTTATTATCCAAGCGCAAGGTGTCCAAGCAAAGAATAAATTAAATATTAAAAAAAAGGCAATTAATATTCGTAAATGGATTTTGGTATATTCAGCATTAATCGTAGTGGCTTTCATCAGCAGGTCTGGATCTCTTATATCATGCATACCATCTAAATCTCGGACTTGGGAATGACCCCGTCCGCGCCACAAAGTCACTACGTCACCCACAACCTAAGGTAAACCACCATCGTCATCGCTTCCCATGTTCGTTATCACGCCGAAACGCCTCCCGGACTGTACACTCCAGACATCGACATCACCAGCCACGAATGCAGTAATATGTCAGCTAGATAGGGCAGGCAGCTAATCTTGAAGATCGTGATGCTTATTATGACACGCAAGATCAGCACCACTCGTCTCTAAGCGTCTCATGGTTATATCATCCAGTCCCCATCGTGATGTTCGGCTACCTCTCTCGCTTCCCTTTAACCGCTATTCGCCAAGTATTTTTCCACCCTCACCCAGAAGCCAGTCTGAAGCCAGTCTACGATGCTTCCCGTATCGAGCCTAGCCTCATCGAATAAGCGAGGAATGGCTCTCTTCCCATTCATCCGTCCATTCAGCATGCCTAGACACAAACCTTGGATCTGCTTCACACCCCATCTTAACATCGTCTCGATCATCTTAAGATCGCTTCAAATCTTGCCCAAAATCTGTAGTTCTGTGACCATCAGTACCGTCATAGCGAAGACATCACTTCTCAATAAGAAAGATCACTACCAATGTCCAGCGGCTCCTCATCAAGCATAACATTGGCCAAGCCCGGAATACTTACCGCTCTACTAACATGAAACTGACCCATCAATCAACCTTTTGATCCCTGCCGCCATTGAACCCTGATTTTCAGTCCCCATTCCACCAACTGCCATCACCTACCCACAACTTGAGTCAAACTTGCCCAATACCTAGCTCCAGCAAATCCCATTTTCTATCATTACAAAATCTGTACAGTAAATCATCTCAATCTTCGTAGTCTGCAAGTTTTCCCTTCATCAATCGTCCATGAAGTGCTCGTAAACTTGTCGTCGCTTGTTGAAACAAGTGGCGGCGCCTTGCTGCTGTTTCATTCAGTTGCTGCATCGCCTTCTCTCGTATCTTTCCGCGCTCATCAATCGCTGCCTTTGCTGCCCGCGTCCCCCGGAGAAACCTATCACTATCCTTCTTCCACGTTTCATTGAGCGCTTGCCTCTCTTGTATGTAGCGTCGTTCGATCTTGTCCACGCAATTGATGCCATTCTTCCGATAGGCATCAGCGCCGCGGTAGATGGTCGCTTCCTTGGCCTGGAGATGACCCAGCATCGTCTAGGCAGCATGTTAGCATTGAACTGGCCCTCGGCAAGGGACTTACCTCGACTAATCCATGGAGTTTCTCTGCTATCTCTGCATTCGGCCCGGCCGGTCGTGTCTGTCTGGGAGAGACTCCATTGCCGCGGACTTTGTCATGCTCCATGGCCTGTTCCACTTCGGCAGTCGCTTCATTTTGTCCCTGCAGGGACGCCAGTATCTGAGCATGAAGGTCTTTATCACTTGAACTTGGCTCGGGGTGCAAGTTGACCGGCTCAGCTTTGACCTTCGTATTAGGTTTGGGTCTCAATCCCACTCTGGTCTTGTCATGAATGGCCTCTGCAGCTGCCAGACTAGAGAGATACTCTTGTTGTAAGTGATTGCCATCAGGATATGGGGATTCCTATTCCGCAGTTCTTCGAAGGCGTTGGGATCTTCTAGGCTCCGTCTGCTGATTGCGCTTGGGCACTTTCGCAGATACAACTTCTTCCATAGCACTTGGACTTGTTCCACCGACAAGCTGTGCTGGGCTTGTTTCAAGTGGTAACGGGCTACCCACCTGACTGATACTGAAGCTCCTTGATGACTTACTGATCTTGCGAGGTGGGTGAGAAACATCAATGATGGGGTCAACTGTCGTAGCAGGTCTTTTCAAGGTCCTTGCTTGTGAGGTATCTTGTTGAACGAGAATGTTGGTGTCGCGAGCCGACAAAACCTTCCTTCGGCCCTTTTGAGCTGCACGGTTTCCCCTCGTGCTTGGAAGAGGTTCTTCAACAACCTTCTTGGAGTCAGGCTTAACAGTCATGGTTGTCTTCTGCCTAGAGATTTGTTCTTCTGGAGGACGTGAAGGGTGAGAGGCCTCGGGCTTCTGCGGTAGGGTCTGCGGGCGTGTAGACGGCTGCGCTTTCTCACGGTGAGCATGGCCTACTGGTTCCACGTCGACAATTGGGTCAACGAGCAACTCTCCCATCACTGATTGAGTCTTCCTTGCTGATTGCCTCTTCTCTTTTGGTTGCAAGTCTTCAATTGGAACGAAGGCATCGTCATCATCGGAAAACAAGGAGCTTTCAGGGTCACTAGAGAGCACGATAGGGTCCTGAGTCGATCCCTGAGTCTCATTTCTCTTTCCTGGTGTCTCTTGGGCCTTTAAAGGCTGCGACACTGGTGCTTTTTCCTCTTTCACCTTGGCTCGAGTTATTCTCTTTTTGATCGCGGGCGCAGGCTTAGCTGCCACTTTTGTAGCAGGAACTGCACGTTCTTCAGCTGTATGAGGTTTGTCCTGAGGTACCACGTTCTTCAAATCTGACTTTCGTGTGGCTGGGGGGGCTTTCTGGGAAGCATCTTGAGCAGGCGGTTTGCGCTTTGGCGCAGGTTTTCGTTTCGAGCCGGGTGTTCCTTTCCCTGCACTTGAAATGGGAGAGACAGAGGCAGCATGCGATTTTCTGAGATTGCTCACGATGGGCATGCGAGGTTGCTGTTCCGCTGCCTTCCGTGGTGTTGCCTCTTTTATTTCATGTGTCTCTTCGTCGAATTGAATGGGAGTCTTCGCTCGTTGTCTCCGGCCTTTCCTTTCCTTGGGTCGTTGCTCACTTGTCCGTACATCCTGAGTTATCGCAGCGGCAGGCTTCCTTTTTGGTGTCTCTTTGCCTTTGAGAGCGCTGTTCTTCCGCTTTGGGAGCTTTGCTGGTAGCTTTTCAGGGGGTGAAGATGCTTGCTCCTGTCTTTCGTCTTCTCCTGATGGATCCAGTTCCTCCTCTAACAGTCTCGTAAGTGCATCATGGCTTTTTGAGGCCTTCCCCGGCCTGCCTTTTGTCTTTGAGTTCTGCGACGAATTTGGCTTCTTAGTACGCTGGGACCTTTCTGTGGCAGCTTCAGGTGCTTCCTCCTCTTTTCGCGATGTCTCAGCTTCAAGCTCAGCCGTCGACTTGGGAGGCGTGACATCATATAGCTCGTCTTCCGGCAAGTGATCCATGGTTGCTGATTTAGGGAAAGGCGGTAATCCGAGAGCCTGTATCGAATCGGGGATGGTACTTGGTAGTGGTGCCAAAGGATTGTTTTCCAGGATATTTAGTGCCTCGTCATCTCCAATCTGAGAGGCAGCCAACGAATAATAAGGTGAACTTCGTCGTACAGTAGAAGCTGTCTCAGAAAAGTCAACAAGAGGAGGTTCTTTGCTTTCCTGATCAGGCTCTGATGGCAGTGGCTGAGTGTTGGGAAGCTTGCCTAGGCCGGACTTTGGACTGGAAAATTCGTCGAGAAGAGAATCTTGGTTATCTAAAAACGTTGGTTCGTCTTCCCGTAGAGGCGTGCTTCGGCGTGTTGAACCGATTTCAGACCATGAGAAATCAACAGGCGGTTGAGCGGATGGAGCGGCTTCAGCTTCAACCAGCTGCATTAGATCATCCTCATTGAGGTCATCATCAAATTCATTTGTTGACGGTATCTCAGAATTTGGAAGTTCGGAATTTGCATTCTGATTTGGTAATGCCGGTGTTGGATCCTGAGGCTGAACTCCACGAGGAGACTGATCGTGACGATTTGGAGTCGTGTCGAGTTGCCCAATGGCTCTAATCCTCTCTGAATGCCGCTTACCCTTTAGGCGTGGGCCAGACTTCCCACCTCTTCGAGGCATTGGTGCACACTTTGCAAGACAGTTAGTGGATGAAACTGTATTGGAGGGGTACACAGCGTTGGTTGTAGGGGATCTGACTTACAGTTCCCCCAAACGATTAGAGGGTGTAATTTGGGCTATCACCTACCGCCGTAAATGGGTGAGAACTAAACGATGCCGAGATCACAAGCGAGATCAAAGAATGTTTGAGAACGTTTTGCGATTTGGTAAGGGGATCACGTTGGCTGAGATGGGTAGGAGCAGATGGTGGAAGCTGCTGGCAAAATGGAAGGAGCGGTCACCTTCGAGAGGTTGAATGCCTCTTGCCTACTTCATTGCGATGGCACTTGCCCACTCATTCGTGAATCACTGCGTGTAAATGGATTTTTTAAAATTCCTTAAGGTACGATAAATAAAAGCGCTACAGGCACCACGTTTATGTCATCACCTTAGTATTCAATATCAAGACAATACAATTAGTTCTCTACAACGCCAACTCCAATATCAACAGGCCAACTTGGGTACACTTAACGCACACAAACTACACTTCACCCTATCCTGGCATACAAAATCAAGAACAACCCTTCACTGGCTTAGACGAAATGATGAATATAGATGGTAGTAGACAACGTCAGTTGTTGAAGTGGTTGAATTTGTCCAGCCTACCCTGCACAACCGGAGGGTTTCTGGATGCAATGGAGGAATTCATTAATGTTGATCTGCGATCTATCGCAACGGGCCATCGCTTGGTAAAGTTTCAGCAAGCCAATTCGTCAGATAATCCTGGTAAAGCCCGATAGTCCGGAATTCATCAATAGGGAAGCGGACTTTGACTGCGGACCATCGGTCGGCGCAACTATTCCCATGCCTTACCCGCGCGGCGCATTATTCAGCAGCAAGCCCACTATCTCCGCTCCGCCCGAATCTATGATCCGTTTCATGATGAATAACACCTTTATCTCCCCGGAAACCCAGGCTTTGAACATTTATTGTGATATTTATTTGTGAGCGCTTTATATATCCCTCCTTCGCCACCTGGCAGGATCACAGATCTAGCGACACCTGTGCCACGGCCCAATCAATCAGTTGTAAGCTTACGTCTAAGCTTCTTACTCGACGTCATGTCAAACCGAATGCACGCCAGCGCCAACCGCGACGCAGCCAGTAAATCTTCGCTTTCTGTCGTTCTGCGCAAGTTCAGTGTTCTTGCGCAGCGGCCCGAACCGAAGAAGTATCCACCGATCTCTTCTATCCCTCGTACATCAGCTGCACGCTTGGCTCAAGCTGCTGAAGATCATATCATCGATCGAGACCATCCTGCGCCAAAGACGTATCTTTATCTCGCTTATGGATCCAACCTCGCTGCTGAGACATTTCTGGGAGTTCGTGGCATTAGACCGCTGTCCCAGGTGAATGTCTCAGTGCCAACGTTGGAGCTTAAGTTCAACCTTCCCGGAATTCCTTATCGCGAGCCATGCTTTGCGAACGTCGATTACCGAAAGCTTCCTGAGAAGCCAAAGCTGCCTCCAAAGGTGCCAGTCCCACCTTTCGATCCTCCGCAGCCACCACACTCAGAGGAGATCAGGTGGGATGAGGGTCTTATGGGTGTGGTATACGAAGTAACAGAGGAGGATTACCGCACCATCATCCGCACTGAAGGTGGTGGAGCAGGCTACAAAGAGATTGTTGTGCCTTGCATACCATTGCCTCCCAAGATGTCCATTCCTGAGAAGCCATTTCCTGATATCCCTCGACCTTTTCTGTCAAGAACGCTTTTTGCACCACAGATTCCTGACAAGGATTTACCCGATGACCCTCGCAAGCACAAGTGGTGGTATCGCTTTCTGCTCGGCCCTCAGCGTGAACCTGGCTATGCACAAGCTAGTGCTCGATATCTCAATCTCATCAAAGACGGTGCCAAGGAACATGAACTTCCCGATGGATACCAGCGTTACCTGCACTCATTACAGCCATACACGATAACAACATTGAGACAGAGAATAGGGGCATTCTTCTTCCTCTTCTTCACAGTCTTTTTCTTCGGAACGGTCATTCTTCTGTCTAAGTTTTTGGCCGACAAGCGCGGCAAGGTGCCCCAGTGGTTGGCTGTCACCATGACTGTCATGTTCACTGTGGCCTGGATGGTCTATGATAATGTTTTCAAGCCTATTTTTGGAAATGGTGAAAGGACTGAAGAGAAGGACGAGAGGAAAACACACGGGCGGAAACGCTCTTTGTCGGCGATGCTTAATCACTTCCCATCGACGGATGAGGAGAAGGTGGAATTATTGGGCGAGTATAATTGAGAAGACGGATTAAACTTAGCTGTTGGGTTTAACTGTTCTTAATCGCTGAGTTATGGGACATGTCTGTTTTTCATACTGACACTTATCGGGGCTCTGATCAGCATGCACATTGGCAACAGTTCAGATTGGATAGCGATATAATTTCAAGTCAAATATTTCTGATAACCAAATGCAGGCATTCGTATCTCTGTTAAATACACTGACCTCTACACGGATAAAAGGGATGGGAGTGAGATGACTCCGTTGGGGTAAACTTGGCAACGTCAACATGCAGTTGAGCTCTAGCGCCTCTGAACCCGTTACAATGCAACGATACATCCTCGGCAGCAAATGATATCGTGATATGACGCGACTCTTGGTAGCGATAACCTCAAAATTTACATCATTTGATCTAAGCTCATGATCTTTCCTTTACCTCTGTAGTTCTTTAACATGTGCTCGTCACGCGACAAGGGGATCGGCCCGCGGATTACGGAACGGGGCTCGGTGCTGTAACTGTTCCTGGATTATGCATCTTTGCCCCCTTGTCTCCCGGAGAATCCTAGACTTTGCAGAGATCCTTGTTTCGAGGTTCTTGTTCGACATGTGAAATCCCACTTAAAAAGTTGAATTGGAATTTTATGTTTGTTTCCATGTGATTGAAGCTATCGTTGAGAGTAGAATTATCTTTCAAGCGTTCTTCATATCAAGTTATGGCTATGCACTCTGAGCTTCTTCTAGAAAAATAGCTTCCAATTGACACATGCAGCCACAGCAATCAATACCTCCTTGCATGTGAAAAACTGCCCCTCGGCCTCATCAAGGTCTCGAGATTTCTCCAGCTCCATTATCACGGATATCAATGGGGTTTTGATGGGACGCTTTCCCCCTTGGAGCAGGCGGTGTCACTTATCTCATTCTGCCATGCGTCATTGTGGCTTGCTCCAGGGTTCAACAACCTGGAAAGCTGGAGCAGGTCCCTCGGACTATTCAGCTTCAGTACCCCTCATAAAGCTCTTTTTTCGCCCTTACACAACTCTCGATTCTCCTTCTCCCCCGTATGTTTCGATCGCTTGCAGTGCGCTCTTCTTTCGTCTTTGCTAAATCTTCGAGATTACTCTCTTGTACTCATATTCGCACTTATTCTTCTGCGACATTCGGCAACATGGCGAGCTTGGGTGGACATTCAAAGAAGCACAAGGTGACCATTGTGGGATCCGGTAACTGGTATGCCTTCCGCTCTCCGGCTCCGTCTCTATCGTAGCTTGAGCCATTGACTAACAGACGCTGCTAGGGGCTCAACAATTGCCAAGATCGTCGCTGAAAACACCCGCGCCAACAAAGATCTCTTCGAGGAAGATGTCCAGATGTGGGTCTACGAGGAGGACGTGACGATTACCAAGGACTCCAAATTATATAACGAAACCACCGGCGACAAGCCCCAGAAGCTCACAGAAGTCATCAACAAGCACCACGAGAACGTAAAGTACCTGCCCGGTATTCCTCTGCCCTCAAACATCATCGCCAACCCCGACATTCGCAACGCTGTCAAGGACTCCACCATTCTTGTCTTCAACTTGCCCCACCAGTTCATCGCAAACGTCTGCAAGCAGGTCAACGGACACATTCTTCCCTATGCTCGAGGAATCAGCTGTATTAAGGGTGTCAATGTCACTGACGACGGTATCAGCCTGTTCAGCGAGTGGATTGGTGACGGGCTAGGCATTTACTGTGGTGCCCTGAGTGGTGCTAACTTGGCTCGTGAAATTGCTGAGGAGAAGTGGTCAGAGACTACTATCGCTTACGACCCTCCGGCTCTTGACAACAGCAGAGCTCCCACGCCACGAACAGGTAGCCCCAATCCTACAATTGGCGAGCTTCCCGAAATGCAGCACAAGGACGTTCGAGGCCGAACTTCCAAGACCAAGCTCACCGCTATGCCAGCCGATTATCCTCCTCTGGATCAGGATTGCTTCCGAACGCTCTTCCACCGACCTTACTTCCACGTCCAGATGGTCTCCGACGTTGCGGGTGTATCTCTGAGCGGTGCCTTGAAGAACGTAGTTGCTCTCGCAGCTGGTTTCGTCGACGGTCGCGGTTGGGGTGATAACGCAAAGGCAGCTATCATGCGCGTCGGTCTCATGGAAATGGTCAAGTTCGGCAAGGAATTCTTCGGCGAGACCGTCCACACAGCTACCTTTACCGAATCCTCCGCCGGTGTCGCCGATCTTATCACATCCTGCTCCGGCGGCCGTAACTTCCGTTGTGCCAAGAAGGCCGTCGAGAAGGGAATCTCCGTGCAAGAGGTCGAGAAGCAGGATCTCAACGGACAGAAGATCCAGGGTACAACCACCGCAGAGGAGGTGAACAGCTTCCTCAAGGCTCGTGGGTTGGAGTCGGAGTATCCGCTGTTCACGGCGGTGAATGCCATTCTCAACGGACAGGCCAAGGTGGACGACATCCCCCATCTTGTGCAGGATTCTTGATTTTGAAAAGATGAAATATTTAGCGAGAATTTGTATCGTTGACGGTATGTGTGTACTGTGGCGTTTGTATGGCTTAGGTGGTTCTACATGGTTTACTCGGATCAGGAGGGAATAGGCAGTGATTTAGAGTCATGAGTGATTGGGGCTGTACTTTGCTGAGTGGAAGGACGGGTCATATACATGAAAATGAACATAGAAATGATATCTAGTTATGAATGTAGCTGTTTTTAAGAGAGCTTTGCCGATTCATTGTTTTGTACGACGATTTGAGAGTGTTCCGGCATGGCTGCGTTCCAGACACTGAACATTCCTGGTGTTGATGTAGTCGTTTTGAGGCTGAGACCTGCAGTGTTGTTGAAGATTTTATCGTAAACATTACCTATTGCGGCTTGGCGGGGTCCCTCGTGGGTTGTACAGAACAACAGCTCGTGTAAGTGAAGTGCCTTATGATATCACAACTTAATGATCGTGATTCTCGGAATTATGCTCAACTCAATGCGATATCTCTCCAAGAGGGTGGTTTGAAACGGATTGATAGAAGGCACTTGATCTCGCCGAATTCATGAGGATGAATGTGCGTTATGCGGTGGAAGCCGCAATGGGCATGAGATTCCGCCTTCAGTTGAGACAAGATAACATGGCGACGGGAAAGGCCGAGCAACGAACTCAGCTTGCCAACATGAATACCTTTTACATCACCAGAAATCTCACTTTTCTTCTTCTACCATTCATTTCTTTTTCAGTATCTTCTTATTGACCCTAGCCAGCTTCTTCAAGCATCACCATTATCCTTTATCGGCTCTCTCTTCATAAGCTGGCTTTTGATTCACCAGCATGCTTCATTCACTTTAATACTCGCATTTTAGTTCACGATATATGGTAGATACAAGCTGCAGAGCTCGATAGTGCGTCAGCATCATGATGGCGGAAATTGATTCAACCGTCCCCCAGACATCGATGGACCCTACTCAGAATTTCGGACACTACATGAACGGAGCAGATCAGAGCAGCATGGAGAATGGCCCGGGTCAGAAAAAACATAAGAATGTTAGATATCGCTTCCTATCGCCTACAGAATGGGCCATCCTAGCTCGGGGAGTTGGCGGGATTATAGATATAGAGCACAACAAGCCTGTTCATCCGACTAGTAGCTTCTGGCCCCCGAACGGCCTTCCCCAGGGTCTCTATCGCGACTGCGTCTACCGTCGTACCATTTCATCGTACTCATTTCACTTCATCGGCTTCGTTCGCGCAATTCTTTTTGTCTTGCAATTGATGATTGGTGCTAGTATCACAGCTCTCAGCTCTGGAGGGTTCGACGACACAGCTATCACTATTCTCGCTGCGTCCAACACAGTTATCGCGGGGCTGTTGGCTCTGTTGCACAACAGCGGTATTCCTGATCGATACAGATACGACAAGTCCGAGTTTCAAAAGGTCGAAGATCACATTAGAGAAGTTCTCGCCACGGGTATCGTACGTGCAGACCAGTCGGTCCAAGAGGCTCTCGCTAAGTGCTACGATCGTTTCGACCACGCCAGACGAACGGTTGAAGCCAATATGCCATCGGCTTATGCCCCAAGTCAATCAACGCCATCTTCACGGCGAGGATCCCAACCTCAACATCAGCCTCTACCACCGATGCCAATGCCTATACCGATACCAGCACGGGCACCGACGACAGTGGCATCAACACCAACACACACGAGGGCAGCAACAGAACCTATCACACCACCTAGAAAGAAGTCACTAAATACTGAAGCCGCCCAAGAAGAAAAGGGTCCAACCACCAAGCCTAGCGAATGATGCAAGACTAGAGCTCGGCAAAGAATCTCCAACGGGATGCGGTCATTTCCTAGCTTGCCGCTTATCAGATAAATTACCTACCGAAATCGACTTATTTTGCGGACTAGGGCTGTTGTTGTACCTGCATTAGTCTGGTTATTGGCAAGAGATTAAATTACCACCCAACCTAGTTCTCGTTCCGTCATAGCCTCTCACCCACCAGGATTCAGCATCAGCATCCTTCATGCATTAACGTCCGTCACCCAAAGACTGGCCACCCCCACAGACCGGCCACCCCGACCAAAACACCAAGAACCGGATATCATGATCAATTAACTAATTATCTCAACACCACATTTTTTATATTAAATAAAAATTTAGTCAGTGAATATTTAGATGAAACTGAGTACAAAGGTCCTCAAGTTTTAATTTCTTAACCCTATTTGCCGTTCTTTC